AAAACTTCATTCAAAAATATGTGACATGGTTTCATGTATCTTCTGTACATTATTATCACTGTACTGCGGGTGGGTAGTTGGGCAGTTTTGTTATAAGTGACATTGCTAAATTCCTCATGAACTGACTTTAAAAGTACCAAAGTAAAGATTTTTGAAAACATAGCAGTTATTTTCACAAAACAAATAAGCATCATGAGTGTTTCTTTAAGCAGTTTCTGCCTCTTTGCTAAATTTGTGATGTGACGCAGATTTTTATTATCCTTCAAATGACCTCCTCATTCTTTTTTTTTACCCTCGCATTCTGTCTTTGTGTTGCCCTCCTGAATCTTAATCCAAGGTAAGAGAGACCTTGGCAGCTGAGACTGGTCTGAGTGTCCGGGTGGTGCAGGTCTGGTTCCAGAACCAAAGAGCCAAAGTAATTCAAAGTACACACACGCGCACGCACACACACACACACACACTCATGCACTGCTAATAAAAGCCTTCTTTCTGCACTGTATTCGTAAGCCAGAGTGGAAATCAGCCTGGTTATCTGTTCATACAGGAAACTGATGACATCTCATGGAGAGATCACTGTAGATTAAACCCAATATTTCCTCACAATTTGGGCTCATGTGTGGCTGCCCTCTACTTCATTCTTGATACTTTACAACTGAGTGAACACAAGCATACTCCTGGGTGGTAGATGGACTGTGGAGTGGGAGGACAGTTTTTTACAGTAGGCTTGAGGATTTGACTGCACTGAGGCATTAAAGAGCTTTAATGTCTCTCGATGCATGTTTTTAGATGAAGAAACTGGCCAGGAGACAACAGCAGCAGGAGCAGCAACAGACTCAGGAACAGTGTGAACACCCATCGCATCACACAGGTATTATTCATAATTGCTTTTGTTCTCGCTGTAAGAAAAGGTACCGTTTTCTCTATTTATTTATCAGTTTCTAATAGGTAATGGGAAATACCTTGACTAAAGATTTTATTCAGCCTTTAAGTTATAGAAAGTTCAATTTTTTTTTTTTACCTTTTTATTGTTTATTTTATTTTATTTTTACTTGTTTGATACGGGACAGACTGGGGAAAAGAAAGAGGGAAAGAAAAACAGCGGGGAAGAGGGACGGGGATAAAGGGCAAAAAACCCCAAAACAACAACAACAAAATAAGCAGACAAAAAATACATCTATCAATCACCTGGATCACCTGTTGAGAAAGAAAAAAGAGAAAACAAGCAGAAGAAAAAAGAGCAACATAATAAACAACATCGCGATGATCTATGTGAATATAACTGTAAATACTAAATATTAAACATTATTGTGCAGCACGTAAGATCGACAGCACACAGTATGCTTTGAGGTAGGAGTCAAAAAGGGTTTAGTTTGTGTGTGTGAGTCCCCGTGTGTACACCTGTTATCATGAGCGCGCTTGTATTTAAAAGGTTCCTTCAAATAATGATCTGCTAGAGGGTGTGGGGGGGCCACAGCCCCGTCCTCCAGGGCATGAAGCAGGTATGGAGGAGATCAAAACTCCAGACATCCAGAGACCCTCAGAACACAAGAGACCAAGGAAGACCAACAGAGGGGCAGCCGCGCCACTGTCCCAGAAAGAGCTGAGGAGAGTCCCAGATGAGGGGTCACTCAGCAGCCGCGGAGCAGAAGCCAGGGGGAGTTGCAGTGACGCGCCCGTGAGCTCTGCCGGCAGCCAGCTGTGCCTGAGTGACCGAGCCCCAGGCCGAGAGGCCGAGGGCACCCCACCCCCGAAGTGGCCCGAGCGAGCCCCAGGCTCCAGGCCCCGACAAGCAGCCACCAAGGAGTGAGCCGGTGTGTACCTGGACGCCCATCCACAGACACAAAGAACCACCAACGCACCGATGTCTGATGTCAGGCCCTCCAAACCTTGGAGGGCCTGAGGTGTCCCCAGAGAGGTGGCGTCTGATACCCAATCTGACATATAGACACAGACATACAGGCACACACAGACACAAACATCCATTCCCACCCTCATGCTCTCATATGCACTTACTCAACACTCACCCAACGTGGAGACAGACATAAAGAGAAACTGTACACACAATCACACTCCCCAAGCGTACTCTAAGCCCCAGGTCTAGGTACCCTTGCCCCTGGAGGGGGAAACTGCACCAAGACCCAGGTAGTGTTACCCTTTTCCCTGGGGTGGAGAGAAGCAGACTGCCCCGGCTCGGCAGCAGCAGGGAGGCCCCACATTCCAGACCCCAATCGGACGGCCAACTTCTCCTCCCAGCCCCCCCGCTCCAGCAGGCCGCAGAGAACGGGGGTGTGAGAAGACTCCAAAGTTTAGAGCTAAAATTTAGCTTTTAATTGTTTTGAAGGGCTTTCTGCAGTTAAAACAGGCTAAAATCATTAACAGAGAACTCTGTTACTTTAACTACATTAACTCATAAACACACAGCTCTGTGATCTCCTTTGGTTTCCTATGCTTCATAGCGCCCTCCAGTGGCAGTGTGACCTCTGAGATGAAGCACCTCGGGTCCTCTTATGTCCATATTGAACTGCAGCAGCAGCAGATGGGAATGACCACACTGGAACAGCAGGACTGGGACATGGACCCCTTCAGACAGGGCCTGACCCCGCCTCAGATGCCAGGGGATCACATGCATCCTTATGGTAAAAGATCTCAACGCAGTCAAATCCTCAGCTTATTTTAAGCCTTTTGTAAAACAAACATGAAATAAACATAATTTTAAAAGTAAAAAAATGTACTTTTGATATTGCTGGTATTAATTTAAACTTCCAATAGTAGTTGAGATACAAAATAATAATTTATATCTTTTTAAGGTTTCAAGAGCCTGTATGGCGATGTGGACAGAGACCCGCTGTGTCATATGGCTGACGGCGACTGCCTCTCTCTTGGCAACTCCTCGCCACTCACTCCTATTGACCGCCTCTACTCCATGCAGGACTCGTACTTCACCTCGTGAGGGTGGCTATCAGATTCAGACAGACTGAATTTATCTCAGAAATGTGGTAATTTGGTACGTGGACGTAAAATGTTAGAAGGGGACAGGGGTACACTCACAGTGATACCATGCAATACTATACCATGTTCACCTCTATACAAACCCAATTACACTCCTGCCTCTTATGCTTTAAAATCTCTTCGGAGTCTCCTGTACGTGCATGACACTGAACTCTCATTATGTTTGAATGCCAGATTATGAGAGCGTAACTGCATCTACTCATGTAAATAGTTGACTGGGTGTGTATTTGTATTTATTCTCCAAATGTGTGTGTATGCTGTTCATCTCGATCGAATTAACAATAATCAGAAAATAATAAACATGAAACGGTGATTGTTCACTATGGTGTTACTACAAACCACGGGGTGATTTGTCCATATGAAAATGGGATATTCATGCTGAGGGTTAGAGGCAGGTCAGTCCATCCTCAGTGCTTATCAGTCCGATCTAGGTGACGGGTCAGTGAGACATCTTCTCCTGGCTGTTGAATGGATCGTCAGATTGTAAAATGCTGGGCTATGACAGCCGTATGGGTCAGTGGCAGGTAAGCATCACATCCACGCCGCCATCATCAACGCTCACATTGTGCTTTTCTTGGTCAAAGGCCTTTGCTGCATTTTTCTGCCTTTTCCTTCCTTCAGTCAAAGAGGATGGGAGGAGGGGGAGGTGGGGGACCACCCAGGCACTGTGCCCAGCTGGAATGCACCAATCATGGGAAGGGAGGTTGCGAAAACCCACGGAGGGGGCTTCAGACAACGGAGTGGCTGAAAGCTGTGTCAGGGGAGAATGCCCAGGGTGACACGGAGATATGAAGCCCTACTGTATGGAGTGCCTCCTTGCCCCAGCCGTGAACCCTCTCCTGGACCCATCTCATATTTCCCACTATGAAATCAGACCTTGCAAAGCAGAGAGCTCAAGTCAATGGTCAGGAACAATCTAACTGTCTGTCACCGTAGTACACTACTGCCAACCAGAGCTAAAGAAGCAAGCAGCAGAGTATACCTACAGTACGTCTGTGTTTCGCAGTCCCTCAGTATCTGTTTCTGTATCTGCTCTGAGCGTCTGCTGGCATGTGCATGTGTTCATTCTCATGTGTTAGATGGAACAACACTCTTTGTTGTAGGGCCTAACATAACATAATGTATTCCTTGTATCTATAGGTGAATGAAAAGAGGGGGGAAAAGGCTTAAATATCGGGGAAGAAAGCCAAGGTGGTCACCTGGGGGAGCCTTTTACCTTCTTGTCTGTGTGCAGTTGGCATACGTAGCAGGTGAGAAGACCAAAAAAAAAGTTCACACTGTGATCATACGGTCACAGCGGGTAGCAATAACCTCATTATTATTCCGATGGTAGCCAAACAGTTTCCTGTCAACAGTGCGGTTATTTATTGCACGCTCCATGCCAACCACAGGCCACAAACCCTCTGTCTTTTAACTGCTATAATTGGCTTCATGCTGTTGCAGTGCCAAGACAGATGCACACGCTTTGCTGAACGTACTCCAAAGGATGCTTGCAGATTATAAATAAAGTCTGTTTGCACACATAGACCAGCAAGGTTTAATGCAGTAGATACAGCCATACCATGGAAATGTATCATTTCAGCCACTGGACTTACATATTCACAAATATGACACACATTTCAATAATCAGTGTAATGGGTGGGGGTAGTCATTGTGGGATCAGTGCCCATTTTGACACTGAGTTGATCACCTCCTCACCATATCCTATGATGGGAGCTTTCTGGTCACCAAATGTGCTAAATTGACAGTTAACGGCATTTCGGCAAGCCTAGAGATTTCTGGGAACATTCCCAATTGACCCCACAGCATTCAAATGCCAAATGTGTAAAATATGAATTTCTGATGACGACCTGACAGGACAGGGTTATTCCAGATTGTACCACATGATACTGGACATAGCTGAAAGAATGCCAGCAGTAAAATGGGACTGAATGAGTCGGGGAAGAGTAAACATAAAACAATGAAAAAGCAAATGAAACAACAGTTTTCTGAGATTTTTTAAAATTTTATTGACTTTTGGAAATTTTCAGGGAGGACCTAATGCAACAGCTGTAGACATACTTTATGTATCGTGGATGAAGTCTGTCATATGAATTGCTATTGCTTAAGCGAGAGCAAGTAGATGCAGTAACTACCAAGCTTCTTAGAATAATAATAATAACAAGCAAAAAGTAAAATCACATCTCAAAAAAGGAACAAGAGGTCAAAACTCAAATGCTGGATTCTCTCTTTCACCCCATGTCGGGACATCAGAAGTGATCATATTTCCTACAAAGATGAAAAGATGGGATTAGAAGTGTGCTCACCCTGCTACACCACACTGTATGTGTAAATGTGCATCACTACAGTAAGTTTCACCTGTTTTCTTAAATTGTTTCATGATCAACACAGTCAGTCCTATCAGGAGAAGTATCGCAACAGCAATTCCCGCCCCTGCGCCAGTGTACAGCAACATGGCAGTCCCTATCGACATACCTGGCGTGGGATCACATAAAGATTTTAATGAAGCTTTAGGGAACTGTTCTCAGTGTATACTTCATGGCCAGCAGAAGTCATTGTTTTATAGTGTATGTTGATATTAGTTTGGGTTTTGCCTGTATCACACCACACAGTGTGCAAGAGAAGACTCCTATCTTAGAAAATGGTGTCATTTATAAATTACGGGGGAAATAACATTTTAAACTACAGAGAATAATTTACCTGTGCAGCTGGGCAGGCTGTCATTCCAGATCCCAGTGGCAGAGCAAAGCATCACTGCTGTGCCATTGAGGGTGAATCCATCTTTACAGCTGAAAACGCATTCAGAGCTAAAGCTGAAATTCCCCAGAGGATGAGAGCAATTCATAGACAGGTCTGAGGAGAAGGCACGGATGGCCTTACACTGCACAGCTAAAAAGGACAGCAACTACAATTACATAAGATCAATGAATATGTAATAACATTCAAAGTATTGCTATGCACTTACGTCGACAGGTGGGTGGATCCTGATTCCAGTGGCCTGAGGTGTTGCACATCATAGAAGATCTTCCTTTCAGCCAGAAACCTTTATTACATTTAAAGTCACACTGTGAGCCATAACTGAAAGGAGAGTTCAGATGGCTGCAGTTCATCCTCCCATGCTGTGGTGATTTGGCCAGCAGGGGGCATTGGCGTGCTGTGGATAACATAAAAACAGTATAGGCTCAGTACAGCTTCACTTTTGACTTTCCGGGTGGTGTAGAGTTTGGAACTATTTAATGTATGGACACAGATTAAGAAGGACTTTATGTGGATGGCAACCGTATCATGTTTTGGTTTATTACCCTGACAGCCTGGTATTTCTGTGCTCCATGTGCCCGCAGAGGTGCATTCAGTGTCAGGAATTCCAGTTAGCAGAAAGCCGTCCTCACAGGTTGATGTGCACCTAGAGCCAAAACTGAACTCGCCATGAGAATGAGAGCAGTCTAAAGTCCCATGAGAAGGAGGAGTGAGAATAGGACACCTTTCAGCTATAAAGGAAAAAAACTCACAGCACATAGAGGAACAGAGCAGATTATTAGCTTCTTTAAGAAAAAAGTGTAGCTGTGCAATTTAAATTATGGAAAAAGGAGTTTATCGGTCTGTTTCTGATACACTGGATATTGATACAAAGAGTGTTTTTACCTAAGCAATGGGGAACAGCTCTGTTCCACCTGCCTTGAGATGTGCACTCTGTGATAGCTGTACCATTTAGCACAAAACCTTCTGCACATGTTGATGTGCACACAGAAGCAAAACTGTACTCTCTGTGGGGATTAGAGCAGACTAAGGACCCATGAGAGGGTGAGTTCAGAGTGGGACACCGTCTAGCTGCAAGAGGAATGAAGACACAGAGGTACCAAGACAAAGAAAAGGCATCATGCCATTGAAACCTTTAAATTAAGCATTTATCTTTGATTGTCTGATCACTTATTATTGATGGAGGGTTTTTTCCTACCCAGACATTGAGGTATGTCTGTGCTCCAGTTGCTCATAGCCGTGCACTCGGTGTCAGCTGTCCCATTCAGCACAAATCCTTCATCACACGTTGTCGTGCAATGAGAACCAAAACTGAACTTTCCATGAGGATCTGAGCAAATTATGGATCCGTGAGCAGGAGAGTTCAGTGTGGGGCATTTCTTAGCTGGAGATGAACAAAAAGAAAGATGTACACAAGGTATTAAGCTGATTTAGTGAAAAATTGTTGTAATGCAAACTGAACCATGAAACTACAAGCTTTTAGCGTGTTCTTTACCCAAGCAAGGTAGAATGTCTGTACTCCACATGCCCATGGAGGTGCACTCAGTGCTGGACGTCCCATTCAGCAGAAAGCCCTCATCACATGTTGATGTGCACACAGAAGCAAAACTGTACTCTCTGTGGGGATTAGAGCAGACTAAGGACCCATGAGAGGGTGAGTTCAGAGTGGGACACCGTCTAGCTGCAAGAGGAATGAAGACACAGAGGTACCAAGACAAAGAAAAGGCATCATGCCATTGAAACCTTTAAATTAAGCATTTATCTTTGATTGTCTGATCACTTATTATTGATGGAGGGTTTTTTCCTACCCAGACATTGAGGTATGTCTGTGCTCCAGTTGCTCATAGCAGTGCATTCGGTGTCAGCTGTCCCATTCAGCACAAATCCTTCATCACACGTTGTCGTGCAATGAGAACCAAAACTGAACTCTCCATGAGGATCAGAGCAAATTATGGATCCGTGAGCAGGAGAGTTCAGTGTGGGGCATTTATTAGCTGGAGGGAGGGAACAGGCAGGGTAGAAGGTCAGCAATACGTTTTTTAATCAAGTGGTAATTGGACCCTCTGTGAACCTTGAAAGTACAAGCTCTTTTATTAACTAAACAATTGAGAAGCATGGATTTAGAATGTTTTTTACCCAAGCAATGTGGGATGTCTGTGCTCCAGTTGCTCATAGCCGTGCACTCAGTGACAGCAGTTCCATTTAAGATAAAACCTTCATCACAGGTTGTTGTGCAACGAGAACCAAAACTGAACTCTCCATGAGGATCAGAGCAAATTATGGATCCGTGAGCAGGAGAGTTCAGTGTGGGGCATTTCTTAGCTGGAGATGAACAAAAAGAAAGATGTACACAAGGTATTAAGCTGATTTAGTGAAAAATTGTTGTAATGCAAACTGAACCATGAAACTACAAGCTTTTAGCGTGTTCTTTACCCAAGCAAGGTGGAATGTCTGTACTCCACATGCCCATGGAGGTGCACTCAGTGCTGGACGTCCCATTCAGCAGAAAGCCCTCATCACATGTTGATGTGCACACAGAAGCAAAACTGTACTCTCTGTGGGGATTAGAGCAGACTAAGGACCCATGAGAGGGTGAGTTCAGAGTGGGACACCGTCTAGCTGCAAGAGGAATGAAGACACAGAGGTACCAAGACAAAGAAAAGGCATCATGCCATTGAAACCTTTAAATTAAGCATTTATCTTTGATTGTCTGATCACTTATTATTGATAGAGGGTTTTTTCCTACCCAGACATTGAGGTATGTCTGTGCTCCAGTTGCTCATAGCAGTGCATTCGGTGTCAGCTGTCCCATTCAGCACAAATCCTTCATCACACGTTGTCGTGCAATGAGAACCAAAACTGAACTCTCCATGAGGATCAGAGCAAATTATGGATCCGTGAGCAGGAGAGTTCAGTGTGGGGCATTTATTAGCTGGAGGGAGGGAACAGGCAGGGTAGAAGGTCAGCAATACGTTTTTTAATCAAGTAGTAATTGGACCCTCTGTGAACCTTGAAAGTACAAGCTCTTTTATTAACTAAACAATTGAGAAGCATGGATTTAGAATGTTTTTTACCCAAGCAATGTGGGATGTCTGTGCTCCAGTTGCTCATAGCCGTGCACTCAGTGACAGCAGTTCCATTTAAGATAAAACCTTCATCACAGGTTGTCGTGCAACGAGAACCAAAACTGAACTCTCCATGAGGATCAGAGCAAATTATGGATCCGTGAGCAGGAGAGTTCAGTGTGGGGCATTTCTTAGCTGGAGATGAACAAAAGGAAAGATGTACACAAGGTATTAAGTTGATTTAGTGAAAAATTGTTGTAATGCAAACTGAACCATGAGACTACAAGCTTTTAGCATGTTCTTTACCCAAGCAAGGTGGAATGTCTGTACTCCACATGCCCATGGAGGTGCACTCAGTGCTGGACGTCCCATTCAGCAGAAAGCCCTCATCACATGTTGATGTGCACACAGAACCAAAACTGAAGGAACCATTTGGGTCAGAACATGATATGGAGCCATGAGAAGGAGAACTAATTGGAGTACATTTCTTAGCTTAAAGAAAGACAGACATAAGAAGAGGCAGCTTCTTAACCTGTGGTTCACATTCAAAACAGTAAAAAAAAAAGTTTTCAAATTATATAGTATGTATATCAGCATTTAGTCATACCCAGGCAAACAGGAAGTGCATGACTCCAGTTACCCTGTGAAGAACATTTTGTCACATTTGTACCAATTAGATCAAATCCTTCTTCACACTGAACAGTGCATATTGAGGTGTAGCTGTGCTTGTTTATAGGGTCATGGCATTGCAGATAGGCATGAGGTGGAGCCTGAAGACTGTTGCACTGTACCACTAGAAAAGAGGAAACACTGTTCTTTCAACATCACAGCATGCAATTTTTATTTCTATCCAGAAAGCGTGTGCTGCTTTGTGGTACAGCAGAGTAGTTTGCGACACACCTGTACATGTAGGTGTAGGCTTGCTCCATTGTCCCAAGGTCAGACAGCTGAGTACCTTGTCCCCAGTTAAATAGTAACCCTCCTTGCAGGTGAAGTTACACCATGAGCCATAAGAGAAAGGCTCCACAGGGTCAACGCAGGTCATGTGGCCCATAGCAGGAGAGAAAACTGGGGAGCATTTTCTCACTGTGGTGAGACACAGATATCACTCATAGTTCACATAATGCAGATCAGTGCTCTTATATAAAATGTCAGTTTGAACAACTGTATGTTATGACTGTGCTTTCACAAACATAGCTTAATCATCATGCTGAGATCATTTACGGTCAAAGAAAAAACAAAAAAACAGTTTACCGACCCATGAAAAAAAAAATCAGTGTTTGTCCAGCACGGACTTAAATGAGTGTGAAGTGGAGTGATGACAGGCGTGACCTAAAGCTAATCTGCTGCACAGTCCAGACAGGATGTGAAAGTGGACTGAGTGCAGTTATGCAGTAGTATATCTCGAAAGTAAATCTGTAAAAAGGGTTCAAGTATTACACAAGTTCTGTGAAAAGTAAGTGACACTCAAATACACACACAGACACACAAAATGAAAGCTATAATCAATTTAACTAAAAATAAAAATGAGTAAACTAATTAACCACCATACAGAATGATTTAAATTCAAAGGCAATGACAACTTTACCTGTACAGACTGGAACAGTGGCTGTCCATTGGCCAGTGTGGTCACAGATGATCTGGTTCTGCCCAATCAGTTCATAGCCTTCATCACAACTGAACTCACAGGTTGAGTTGTAGCTGAAGGCTGCGATGGGGTGGCTGCAGTTCATGCTACTCGCGCTGAAGTTGGTGTATTTCAAATTTGGACACTGTGCAACTATGATAAGCAGTCAAAATATGTTTTGTAACTTTGCCATCTGAAATATCAGTTTTTAAAAACAGCTGGTTTCCTGTTGCCATACCTTGACACAGAGGAACAGGGTGGTTCCAGAGCCCATTGGCTTGGCAAATCAGTTGAGGCGCGCCTATTAACCGAAATCCAACTTCACAGAGAAAATGGCAGGAAGAGTTAAGATGATTAGACCCATAGGGATTAGAACAGCGGAGAGACCCTTGATCTGGATGCGGAAAAGGTTTGCATGTGATCGCTGAAGATAAAACAAATAAAAATTAGTTCATGTCTTTTGTTTAGGTTTGCAAAAATATCTTTAACAATTGTCAGTAGGCTAAAACTAAAATACAGAAGTTCCCGAGGAACAAATGAGGGACAAATTAATAACAATCGAACCCTAAATGGACTGCTACGGTGAGGTTCTATGCCATTCAGATATAAAACGAAGACTTAAAGATGGTCAGTATTATTCAAAATCAATCACTTGTTATGGGGACTCTTGTGGCTGAGTTGTCTGGTAACTTCATTAAATAAGTCTGAGGTGGTCAGAATGAAATATCAGGCTAATCCCGGCTGGTTATTTTAATTTAATAGTTGTATATTTGGATTGCATATTGCAATATTCTACAGATCTTATCAGCTTACCCTCTTCACAGCGTAGGCCTCGGAAACCAGGATGGCACTTGCAGATGTGGCTTCCAATGCTTTCCACACAGTCTGCATGAGCACTACATGACTCATGTTTGCAAGAGGCTGCAAATCACACAAAAGGTGTCAGATGCTGCATTACATTTACTGCCAAAGTTTTCCATCAAACTAAGTGAAAAGTATCCTACCGGTGTAGCAGACAGCTCCTTTCAACTTATTGCAGTTCTCATTGTTCCACTTGGCTGTGTCTCTCGCCCTCTTAATGTATATCTCCACACAGTCCTGACGGGGTATGGTATCTGGCTCTGCTGATGCCCAGTTTTGAGCCTCTTCAGGTACACTCTGACTGGTGTTTACTGAGGTCCACAATCCAGCCACTCTGTGAATCCCTATCCAGTAATATTTTGGATTAAATGGTAGCAGATCATTGAGGAAATTGGTCTCCCCTTGGTTCTGAATGGCAACCATATCCGTGAAGAACTTCTGGCACCACTTGCGAGCCTCGTACCAGTTCTGGTTTGGACCAGTGCTGTAGTTGTATGTCCATGCTTGCACACCTCCTTTCCTACTACTCAAGTCTAAAAATGTAGCATAAGGACAGTAAGATAAATGTGGACTGGTGAAGAAAAGTGTTTGGTGTGTGTATTACGCAGGCTTACCTACAGCAAACACAATCAGTGTAGCTATCAGTGCGTTACAATGCGAGTTTTGTCTTACATCACCTGACATCTGAAATACAAAGAAAAACAACTGAGAACGACACATGGCTGCTATATGTGAGAATGAGGGTACAGTATCAATTTCTATAGGTATGAATGAACAGCCGTTACGTGTCTTACCTTCTGAGCCGTCTTTAGTTACTAATTCTTGGCATTTAACTCTCACCTCTTCAGTAAATGGCAAAACAGTATTATCTGTCCTCCAGGGACTGAGCCAATGTCCAATTTTGTAATATCATTTCTACCACAGCTTCCTTTCAGGAAGGGTTTCACTCAACCACTCACAGCACCCTCCACACATGCATGCACACATCCAAAGATAATTATATATTCAGAAAAAGACATGCAGACACAGTCACTAAAACATTATTTTTATTCATATTTACATTTCAAAGCAATTTACAAGAATGCGGCACACATGTCTGAACCATACCATGATGACAAACCATCGAATATACACAATTACATAATTTATAAGTATGCAACATATCAAATGTAACTTTTACAACATATTAGGTAAAAGCCTTAGCTGACTGATATTTAAATCAGCATCCAGTGCATGATGCAAGGAGACCGATTTCCTCAATCTCTAAGTGAACTGTCTTGGTGTCAAATATATTCTAATTAAGGCGTGGGACGTTGTTTACGGTTGTGTATCACAGGGTGGACTTCCTTCTTCGGGCAGCCTGTGCAGGACAGAACAATGTTCTTAGATTTTTCCCCCAAATTCTTTGAATACTAAGTCAGCAAAGGCTGTGAGAAAGGGTGGAGCAGCTTAAGACAAACGTATAATTTCAACACTGACCTTTCTTGGGAAAGTTTCTTTCCTGTGAGAAACAGAGAAATGGATTACTTTTGAGGGGTGTTGCAATAAGATTGCACTGAATGTTTTATTTGTATAGAGAGTAGTTGAGAATGACTGACTTTGTCTGTGTTTTATGCAACAAAAACAGATGCAGCAGAAGGTAGAGAGGGCTCCACATCCAGCTAAAGCCAGCAAAGCCTGTTTATAGCCTGAAAAAGAGGGGAAAGCAATTTTTACCATTCAGTTATACATTACAGCACATCATTCATGTACATGTCAAAACCTACTGCTTTCCATCAAAATGATTTAGCATGAGTTACTGGAAGCACAGTTCTTATGGCAAAGAAACTATAAAAACCATACATGAAATGGCCGGCCGCCATGTTTAATGTTTAACAACATTTTACAAACATTTACATGATTTTTTTGAAATTACTTGTACAAGTAGGTCTTGGGCCACTCCAGACTCTGGTCTCTCCACAAGTGACGGCTGGTGAGCCAATCACGAAGAAGCCAGGGTCACACTTAAAATGACAGGTTGTCTTGAATGTCTGATTTCCTCTGGAGCAGTTATGGGATCCATTATAAGTTTGAGGTAGAGGGGGACACTCCACAGCTGAGGGCACAAACAGGTTATACAACATCTTACAGTATGTTATAATACATTTTAAAGCACTGTACTTTATTTTTATTTTTTTATTTTTTTATACTTTATTTTTATTTATTTATTTTTAGGAACAGGAACATTAACATTTACACAGACACAGCAAGGGAAAAAGGTAAACAACTAACTAGAAGTAAAAATAATAAGATAAATAAGATAAATAAACAAATAATAAAAAATAATGGAGGGAGGGGCTCACCCAGGGCTATGGGAAGTTACTAAAATGTAGTTTTTCCACTTGGAGACACACCGTGCATCTTCACCCCCATACCTACGTCTATGTACATACTCACATATACTTTCAAGTATCTACATACACATCTACATATACATACATAATACATATCTACATGTGCATGCATGCATACTCGTGCATGTATACCCTTTGACATAAAATCAGGTTAAATGAAAACAGAATGGGAAGGGAATGAATAAGATCCTTTTCCTACATTATTCACAACCCTTTCGCATATTCGAAAACCATTTTGACCAATATCTTTGAAATTTGTCTTTACAGAGTCTCAGAGAAAAGGTCATCTTTTCCATTTCACAAATGTCTTTTACTATGGCTGACCACTCTCCAACCGTTGGTGGGTCCTTGTCCAGCCATCTTCTAGTTATTGCTTTTTTACTTGCTGCCGGGAATATTTTAAAAAGGTGTTTATCTTTCCTATTCATCTCAACTGGTACATTTCCCAAATATATATTGTAGCAAAGCAAAACTCAATCTCAGAACCCATGACTTTTTTTAATCCTCATTAGTATTTCGGCCCAATAAGTGTACTTTATTTTTAATGTGATGTTACAGTTTGGTATTACTACCGCTCTAATCAGTGGTAACAGTAACTTAAAATGCTTCACTGGAAGCACAGCGCTTATGAAAACAAACCTGTGTATTTTCAGGAACCTTTAAACTTTTAGATGATTTCATGAAATTACCTGCACAAGTAAGTCTTGGCCCACTCCAGTCCCCAGTGTCTTCACAAGTGACAAATGACGAGCCATTTATGAAGAAGCCAGGGTGACACTTTAATCGACAGGTCGTGTTGAAGGTTTGATTTCCTCTTGAGCAGCTATGGTATCCATTATAAGGCTCAGAGAGAGGGAGGCATTCCACAGCTAAGGACACAAACAAGTTACGCAACATCTTGTAATGGTTTATAAAACATTTCAAAGCACAAACATGCTGGTGCATGCACATTTTAATGTTATATAAGAATGTGGATAATGAGTCGCTGAAAACAGAATAAGTGTAGCAGTTAAACTAAATCTGTTTTTAAGTATTTACTTCTATATCTAATTGTACGATAAGGGGGGGAGCACTCAGGACAAAACCTGGGTTCCAGTTAAATCGACATGTTGTGTTGAACATTTGATTTTCTCTTGAGCGGCTTTAGTATCTGTTCTCAAGCTGAGGAAAATCCACAGCTGAGGGCACAAACAGGTATGCAGGGCATTATGTAATGTCTTGTAACAGGTTTGTAATATGAAAATAACACATTTTAAAGCATTTATATTGGGTTTTTGTGTTCATACTGATGTAGGCTTAATAATGATAATTTCAGTTTTTGAAGAAAAACAACACGAGTCACTTATATATGTAGAGCATAAAAAATTGCGCATATCTCAAAGCGTGTGTGTTGGAATATACAACTCTGTTACGATTACTTGTTTCCTCCGTGCAAGTATGCCTGCACATTGTTTCACACATTACTAATAACTGTAAATGGCAACTCTTTATGCATTATAATAAATAACACTAAATTGCTCACGTGTTTGGCACCTGTCTCCCTTAAAACCACGTTCACAGAGGCAGGTTGTACTGTTGATTGCCTCCTGGCATCTTCCTCTTTCACAGGATGATTCATTGCACTGGGCTTTTAAGAAAAAGCACACCAATATAAGGTCACTTATCACTATAAAACCTTCACAGCTTTTCTTTGTATAGAAGACACTTTATTTCTTTTTTAATAATAGATATTAAAAAAAATTAGTTTTAAGACAAGACATGTTATCCTGAAGATGTTAGAAAAGTTAAACAATGCAAACAAAAAATATCTGACATTACTGTAATGGTGGATAGCACATTAAAATAATATGTAAACAAAAATACAACAATTTACTTCAATAACAAATTAAAATAATATTTAAAACAAATATTATGAACATGTAAAAACTATTCTGAAATCAAGTTATCACCTTAAAGGAAATCAGCCATGCTTTTTCATGAAAATATAAAGTTATGATATAGCAAAAAGAAAAAAAATCAACAAAGCAGAATTAAAAATGTGGTAAAAAACTGTACAGGAATTACTATATGACAGGTTTACGTACTTTTAAAACACGCTGCATATTTTGATTTGCTACATTTCTCATCGTTCCACTTCCCTCGATTTTCTCCTGTGTTAGTGTAGATCTCTACACAAAACTCTGTTGCATGGACATTATTTGGTTCATTTGGTGCCCATGAATTGTTACCAATCCACGTGCTGTTATTCCCAATCCAAATCCAGCTTTCATTCATATGGTTTCTAGTGATTCCAATCCAGAAATATGGGGAGCTTCTTTTCTGTGGCAGGATGGAGACCAGATAATCATTCTCCGCTTGGTTTTGGATGACCACCATGTCTGTGAAATATTTCTGGCACCACTCTCTGGCCTGGGTCCAGTTCATTGTCTCGTTTGAGTAGTGATACGTCCAGCACAGAGTAGTCTCAGCCAAGCAACTACCTGCAAATGTTCAGAACAGCTTTTAATGTGATAATTAATAAAGTTTTCTGACACGTGTCAGCCGGTCTTTGCCCAGCAGCCACACATTTCACTGGAACTGGAATTAAAACTTACCAAAGATGAGGATTAATGTCCACTTCATCTTCAAAGAGCAATTTACTGTCTGTACAACGGGGGGGAAAGACTATATTTTCAAAAGTACTAATGAATGTCACCACGGAGAGTTGCTGAATAAGAAAATTGTGACTTACCCAGAATTAATATTATAATATTGTCCTTTGAACTGTTTGACACAAACTCCTACATAAGTTAAATCCCTGTTTTTTCTGATCAACTCAAACATAAAACAAAAAGCGTTACAGCAGAAAAATGTAAAGGTTGTTAGACGAAACTAAGGACCAGTGTCAGGCTTTTATATGTTCTCGTTTGCCATTCAGAGCAACATTATCATACAATAACTGGATGTTTGCTGTTCAGGCTGAATGCATGTAACGAATGATTTACTGAATATTTTAATGACTTTAACAAACCTTTAGGGAAACCCCACCTATTTCTAGTAAAGGTGGTTTCAGGGGCAGATTTTAATGAAGAAAAGGTACACAATGCCACAAGGTGCTTACTCATAGAGGTTGGACTACAGCCTTTGAAACACTTTTTAGTGTTTAAATGGGAATTTTTAAGCCTTTCATTTGTGGCTAGAATGAGTGTTTTCTTGTCTGTTTTCAAAAACACGTCTTCTCCATATCCTGACATATTGATGTAATGGAAACTCTTTTTAACGGCAGTGTCCTTCGAGACAACTTTAGACTTATGAAAGATGCGAGATGTGAGTTCCTGTCCAACTAAAGTAAAAGAGACGGAATTTTTTTTAAACAATGAACTCTGGGAGAGAAAAAAAGAATACCTAGGAATATAATTGTTCCTTCTTTGAATACCGCTCACTTTTATATGTTTATTCTGCTTTGTCATGAAGTTTATGATGGAAAGGTCGATGTTTTGGCAAGAGATCTGGGAATTTTTCAAAACACATCCTTCCTCAACCCCTGAAAAAAAACCCCGAAGGTTGTAGAAGGTCATGGCTGAAACTGGGAAACTAGATTGGTTTATGATAGAAATCATGAGTCAATCTATGAAGGCTGGCTCCACAGAAGGCTATTACACATCCCACCACTACACATCCTGCTTGGCTAAGCATTCCTACCAGTGTGGTGACACTGATACAACTGGCTGAACTTTTTTATTAGTCCTCCGTATATTTTTTTCAAATGAATATCAGAACATTTCCGAACATAGAAAACAGCAGATAAAAAACATCAAATTTGAAGTGTTACAGTAACAAAGTCAAAAAATAGAACACACACACACACACACACACACACACACACACACACACACACACACACACACACACACTCAGCTATCATGACAGGACAGGCAGATGATGATAAATGCAGAGGAGGAAAAGCAATTACTGGATCAGCTAGGTGTAGTAGGGAGCGCACAGGGCCCTCATTATCAACAGACTGTAGAGTTTGGGACACACACACACACACACACACACACACACACACACACACCACCTTAAAAAATAATGCTTTTTTAAGAAAATAAATATTACATGAATTCTATATCAAATTATTTGCTGCTATGCACTACAATGATAATTCACACATAATGCGTAAAACCATCTGTAGTTTTCTATTATAGCACGTTTTTGCTATATTAGGCTGTCAATACTGTTCTTGGAAACTCTGTGGAGGAGCCTCTATGTCAGAGATGCTGTAATAAAAGAGAAAAGAGGAAAAATCAGAAAACCCCAAAAGACACATATATGATTTAAACGAGGTAAATTCTTTTCTAACCTGTTCAAACTTGTTTGATTTCTTCAGTTTTTTAAAGATCCACATAGCCATAAGCACACCAGAGAGGAAGGCAATCCCTCCTGTGGCTATACCAGCAGTGACTGCTGCAACTGGAGCAGGAGCTGTGGAAACACAGTGAAATGTGAATAGTGTGAACTTTTGCTTTCCCCTTTGATCTGTTGTTGCTCATTTACCTTGGCAGGTGGGTTTCTCTGCAGTCCAGTTGCCATGGTGATCACATGTCAGCAGCTCAGGTCCTTCTAATGAGTAGCCTTGGTCACAGGTGAAGGAGCACTGAGAGCTGTAAACTGACTCAGTGCTGGAGCAACTGATGTGACCGTTTTCAGGAGCCTCAAGCAACAAACATGTAACAGCTGTTGTAAAGGACAGGAGGATATTGCATATTAAAAAAGTGATCTCACCTGTGCTCGTAAGATTCTGAACATGCAAATGAAATTGTGAACAACAAGTAATCCAGGTAAAATGGGTTCACATGTACCTGTGCAGGTTGGTGATCTGGAGGTCCATTGGCCTGGATGTGTACACTCCATGCTGTGTGCACCTTGCAGCTCATGTCCTTCATCACATGTAAAATGACAAACCATGCCAAGTGGATGGGGTGTGTCATGACTAAGAAATGAAGACAGAGAAGGGCTGCAGCTTATCTGACCATTTGTTGGGACCTCTGGAGCAGGACATCCTTTTGCTACAAAAAGAAAATAGGAAAATATTATTAACATATTTTGACATAATCAATCAAAAAAAAAAAAAAACTGGAGTAACACTGTTTGTAGTAAATATTGATATAATTAGTCTTTCAGACCTTTGCATGTAGGTATGTTTTCATTCCACTGTCCGTCCTCAGAACACTTGATGGTGTTTGCTCCCTGCAGTTCAAAACCTTCTTCACAGCTGAAGCTGCAGGTGGAGTTTGGTCGCAGTTCAGTCTCAGATTCACTGCACTGCATGATGAGGGGAGCTTCTCTCTCTGGATTCTGGCAAAGGATGGCTGACACAGAAACATGTGTATTTTATTGAATGTGCCCTCATTGTATAGAAGATGGGTGGGTTATAGAGAGGGAGCTATAAAAGCATTATTAAATGGGAATAATGTGAAGCTTTTATATCTCAAATTTGTTGTTTGTTTTAATCCGTTGTTGTTGTTTTTTTTTACCTTGACAGGTGGGTTTCTCTGCAGTCCAGTTGCCATGATGATCACATGTCAGCAGCTCAGGTCCTTCTAATGAGTAGCCTTGGTCACAGGTGAAGGAGCACTGAGAGTTGTAAACTGACTCAGTGCTGGAGCAACTGATGTGACCGTTTTCAGGAGCCTCAAGCAGCGGGCATCGAACAACTGTTGTAAAGGACAGGAAGATGTGACTTTCATGTCATTAACATACAAATGAAGTTGTGAACAACTAGTAATCCAAGTAAAATGGGTTCACATGTACCTGTGCAGATTGGTGATCTGGAGGTCCATTGGCCTGGATGTGTACACTCCATGCTGTGTGCACCTTGCAGCTCATGTCCTTCATCACATGTAAAATGACAAACCATGCCAAGTGGATGGGGTGTGTCATGACTAAGAAATGAAGACAGAGAAGGGCTGCAGCTTATCTGACCATTTGTTGGGACCTCTGGAGCAGGACATCCTTTTGCTACAAAAGGGAAACAAAAGAGTAAAATATTACTAATATGTCATGACATAATCAATCCAAGAAAAAAACTGGAGTAACACTGTTTGTAGTAAATATTGATATAATTAGTCTTTCAGACCTTTGCATGTAGGTATGTTTTCATTCCACTGTCCGTCCTCAGAACACTTGATGGTGTTTGCTCCCTGCAGTTCAAAACCTTCTTCACAGCTGAAGCTGCAGGTGGAGTTTGGTCGCAGTTCAGTCTCAGATTCACTGCACTGCATGATGAGGGGAGCTTCTCTCTCTGGATTCTGGCAAAGGATGGCTGACACAGAAACATGTGTATTTTATTGAACGTGTCCTCATGATATAGAAGATGGTGGGTTATACTTTTCGTGTTCCTCTTACCTTCACAGTGAGGAATCTGCTGATTCCATGTACCTCCTGATGTGCAGGTCACTCTACTGGCTCCCACTAAATGGTAACCTTGGTCACAACTGAAGCTGCAGGTGTTTTTGTAGCTGAACCTCGTATCAGCATCTTCTCCACAGCTGACAAAGCCATTTGTCAAGTTTTGCAGAGCAGGGCACTGAACAGCTACAAAAGAGAGAGGCAACAGAAGGAGTTAAATTAAAGCTTTTATTTTAATCATCATGCAAATCATCCCCCAAATAACAAAAACTACACAACGATGAAAGGTAAAAACATGTGGCCGTACCAACACAGTATGGCTGGGATCCATTCCAATTTGCTGATGATTCACATTGCAGAGATGAAGATCCAGACAGTACATAACCTTCATCACAGGTAAAAGTACAGGTGGACTGATAGCTGAATGAGCCCAGAGGATCGGAGCATTTCATTGATCCATGTGTCAGCTCTGACATCTTCTCACACTGAATCACTGTAGACAACAGGAAAAAAAACATCAGTCCATGACTCCATCACTGTGTAGAAAATAATAAAAGTAACAAAAAGTAGTAGCAATATTATAAGCTATTAGCACTTAAACTCACTTTCACATGTAGGGGGTTTTTCTGACCATTTTCCTAAGGAAGTACACCTCAAAGGTCCTGGCACACTCAGCTTGTATCCTTCCTCACAGGAATACTGACACAAGGAGTCATAGGAGAAACTGCCATACTTGTGAGAGCAATTTACATGTCCTTTATCTGGAACAACCACTTCACCTTTGTTACACTGCACAACTGACAACAAAAAAACAACAACACAGTTGGATATTAATTAAATCCTTTACATGACTTAAAATATGTATTTAAACTACGCTATCAGATTTTTTCTCACCTTGGTCACACTTGTGTCCAAAAAAACCTTCAAAGCAATCACATTTGTGGCTGTTGATGGTTTCAACACACTCTCCGTGGAAACAGGAGTCAATCTTACAAGCCGCTGGAAAAAGCAGAGGTACTTCTATAAAGGTTGGTAAATATACTAAAACAATATGTCAGAAACATCATTTTTAACTTTCAGATCAGTAGATCACCTATTAAAGAACAGCAACACAGCAGCAAAAATTAGTTTTTCAAGAGTGTGATTTTTGCTCACCTGTGTAGCACAGAGCAGTCTTTGATTTTGTACATCTCTCGTCATTCCACTTGCCTGGTTCTTTATCTCTTTTAATATACATCTCCACACAATCCTCATGCATGCCTGTGTTTTTGTCACCCTCGTTATTGTTCGGTTCTCCTTTTGCCCAGTTGGTTGCTTCTTCTGTCAGAGGCTTGTTGGTTCCTACCCAGGTCCAGACATTATTAATCCTACGAATCCCAATCCAGTAGTAGCCATTTTTCTTGGGCAGCCAGTTGTTAAGATGCTCAAGCTCCTCCTGGTTCTGGATGGCCACCATGTCCGTGTAGTGCTCCTGGCACCAGCTTCGTGCATCATCCCATGTCATTGCGTTGTCCGAGTAGAAGTAAGACCAAGACTCTACACTAGTCCACATGCACAGCACTTAAATAGAGACAGTGACATATAGTAGATGTAAATGGGGAGAAAAGGAGAGATTTAAAAAAATTCTATTAACTAATTTGCTCTCTAATGAGTGTTTTTAGTATTGGGTGCCTTTGTCCCTCCCGTATATATTCTTCATCCTGTATAAATTTCTCTTATTTGTTGTTTATTTTTGCTGTCTTACTATTTATATTTTATTCCTGCACACTTGGTGTGGAGCACCCACAATTTTGTCATACATGTACAGTGAACACAGGGCAATCCTATTCTAGCTGGTTCTAAAACTTTTTATTGAGACGCTCAAGGCTCTTCTGGCAATAAATGTACATACTTGAACAAATAACGGCGAAGTTGATCCATGAGGCAGAGCTCTTATATCCATGGGTTAGTCCAAAGAAGGAATCCTGTAAAAATAATTTAAAGGTGCATTAAATTAAAACCAAATTAATTTACATTAAAATGAATAATATTTAAATTGATATCCCTTCCACTCACCATTTTAAATGATATGCCTGATAAACTCCAGAAGGCACTTGATTCTCTAGCTTTCAGCCTTAGTATGTGTAGGGATGATTCTCTGCGTTATGCACTGGATTTCCAGGTTTTATACGCTTCTCTAGTGTCATTCAGGAAACCTGGAAGGTTTCCATGGAATCCCCCCCAATACTGCTCCATTCCACAAAAGGCTTTAAAAACATTTCCTGCACAAAAGCATTGGCTGGTCGTTCTCAGTACTGAACTCCCAGGTTGACTTTTAGGGTGAGATGGGGCTTACTTGGCTCTGCAACAATGCAGCTAATCGGGGTGACAAATGGGGTGACTGCATGTTCATGCTACTCCCACTGAAATTGTTGTGTTTCTAAGCTAGACACTGTGTAACGATGATAAACAGTCAAAACTATTTTTTTAAACTTCGACATCTGAAATATTAGTTTTTAAAAATTATCAGTTTCCTGTTGCCGTACATTAATGTAGAGGAAGAGAATAGCTCCAAGGTCTGCTGGCTTGATAGATGAGTTGGGGTGTGCCCACCAACAGAAAGCCAAAAAGCAGGAAAAGATTAGACCTTTAGACCCAAACAGATAAAAACAATGGTTAGAGCCTTGATCTGGATGGGGAAAGGTTTGCATGGAATTGCCGAAGATGAAAATAAAAAGAAAATATATTAATTTGAGAAAGAGGTCGGTTCTTTGGTTCAGGTTTATAAAAATATATATACATACACACTACAAAAGTCAAAGTTTGGACACACCATCTCATTTTAATAGTTTTTCTTTATTTTCCCTACTTTCTACATTGTAGATGCATGCTGAAATCAAATATCTGAAGCAAGATATATAGAATTATGCAGCAAAGAAAAAATCTATAAATAACTCCAAATATGTCTTATGTTTTCGTTTTCTGAAAGTCTTTGTTGACAGCGCTTCAAACCCTTGGCCTTTTCTCAATGAGTTTCATGATGTAGTGACCTGAAATGCTTTTCACTTCACAGGTGTGTCTTGTCAGGGTTCATTTGTGGAATTTCTTGCCTTCTTAATGGGGTTTGGACCATCAGTTGGCTTGTGCAGAAGTCAGGTTGGTACACAGCTGACAGCTCTATTTGGAAAATCGGAATTCATATTATGACAAGAACCAATCAGCTAATGAAGAGAAATGACAGTCCATCATTATTTTAAGAACTGGAAGTCAGTCAGTCAGTCATTTGAATATGTCCCCAAGTGCAGTCGCAAACAGTGTGACACAGAAAAGGTGAACGGATGGTCTCTACATGCATGGTTCCCACTGTGAAGCATGCAGGAGTGATGTTGTAGGGGTGGTATGGTGGTGACACTGTTGGAGATTAATTCAAAATTAAAGGCAAAAAGAACCAGCGTGGCTCCCACAGCATCCTGCAGCAACATGCAGTCCCATCCAGTTTGCGTTTCGTTAGACCATCATTTATTTTTTAACAGGACAATGACCCCAAATACACCTCCTGGCTGTGTAAGGGCTATTTGACCAAGAAGGAGAGTGATGGAGTGCTGCGCAAGATGGCCTGGCCTCCTCAGTCACCTGACCTAAACTCAATCGAGAAGGTTTGGGATGAGATGGAGCGCAGAAGGAAGGCAAAAGGGCCAACAAGTGCTCAGCATCTCTGGGAACTCCTTCAAGACTGTCGGAAAATCATTTGAGGTGACGACCTCATGAAGCTCATCGAGAGAATGCCAAGAGTGTGCAAAGCAGTAATCAGATCAAAGGGTGGCTATTTTGAAGAATCTACAATATAAAACTTTGTGAAATGGATATAAATTTACGCTACCAGAGAATGGACTGGGGGAGTGGGAGAACATCAAGAGCTGTTATTTTTTAATGTGTTCCAGTTTACGAAAAACAGCATATCTCTTTTTGTGGCACATAAAAAGACAAACTAAGAATAAAAAGTTAGTAATTTTGTGCGGTTAGTGGTTTGTGCAACTCAGAAATATAACAACAATCCTTGGAAACTAGAATGACGCTGACAGTTGTATTTTCACATGGTTTCCATACAGTATGCAATAACACTAAAGGACTAATGTTTGCACAAGATTGCAATTTACAACCTAAAAGTAATAAATGCTAAAATAACACTCAGGAAAGAGCTTCGGGAAAGGAAAAGGTGTAGCGACAGATTCTTTCTTGTTACTGCATTTATTTCTCATTGTTCCACTTGGTTATGTCTCTCTTGGGGTGATCGTGGCTCAAGAGTTGGGAGTTCGCCTTGTAATCGGAAGGTTGCCGGTTCGAGCCCTGGCTTGGACAGTCTCAGTCGTTGTGTCCTTGGGCAAGACACTTCACCTACCACCTACTAGTAGTGGTCAGAGGGCCCGGTGGCGCCGGTGTCTGGCAGCCTCGCCTCTGTCAGTGCGCCCCAGGGTAGCTGTGGCTACAATGTAGCTGCCATCACCGGTGTGTGAATGGGTGGATGACTGGATGTGTAAAGCGCTTTGGGGTCCTTAGGGACTAGTAAAGTGCTATACAAATACAGGCCATTTATCTCTTCCTTGCAATGTATCTCCACACAGTCCTGAAAGGGTATGTTATCTGGCTCTGCAGGTACCCAGTTTGGAACCTCATTAGGTGCAATCTGATGATGATGTATCTGATATCCTCATGTTGGTGTTGTTCCTGCATCACCATAATTAATGTTGGTCCAGGTTTAACACTGCAAGTTACTAATCATATTTTTGTGACGTCATAGTTTTGCAACATGGAAAAAACACCCTGCTATTGTTCACCTGTGGAAAACATCCAACAAAGGTTCAATGTTAGGGTTGAGGGTTAGGATGTAAACATCATTAGGGTTAGGGTCATGGGGCTATCGCTAGGGTTATGAATATGGGGTTTGGGTTTGGTGTGATGATGTTTCCACCAAATGGCAAAACAGTATTATCTTCCCACCAGGGACTTCGCCAATGATCATCATTGTAATATCATTTCTTCCACAGCTTCCTTCCAGGAAGGGTGTCACTCAACCACCAATAGCACTCTGAAGACACATAAACACACAGACACAAAGTACCATGATATTTATATTGTATTTATTCACATTTATTTTTGAAAGGACTGTACAGAAATATTGTATATAACATATACTGATAAAGAGATGGTGTAGGAAATTACATAATTTACAACATATTAAACAGAGCCTTTACAGCTGCAATGTATCAGACAAAATCCCCCCAAAATAAACCTCTTATTTTTATCATGCAGTCATAAAGCATGGTATATCAGTCTGACACTACTACTGCCATCATAATAATTTCATAATAATAATAAGAAGAAGAAGGATTTACTGGAAAGCAAAGAAACAATAAGTCAAACCATTAAATGGTTGAAGCTCAGACAGTTTGTTTTCAGTGTTTCTCAATTTTCACTTGAGCAGTTATGGTATCTGTTATCAGGACAAGCAGAGTGGAAAATTCCACAGTTGAGGGCAAAAACAAGTGATGTACCATCTGTAATGTATTGTACTAAAAGTACCAATGTGCTGCTGCATGTACCACTCTTTGGATGGGCATTTTGAATGTGATATAAGTATGTGGTAGTAGTGCTACTGCTCTGGTCATTGGTAATAATAAACTGTAATGATTTTATAGAATTGGAATCAATGTAGCAGCCTTGATTTTTGTTAGTATTTACTGCTATATCTAACTATATCTAAAATTTTAATTTACTACCTGCACAAGCAAGAGCCCAGTGTTGTCACACGTGATGGCAGCTAGGAAAATAGCAAGAAAAAATTCAGGACTGCAAAGCTCATAACCATAGTTTAGGGTGGGGACATAGATCGACTAGTAAACTGACAGCTTTGCTTTTATGGACAGCTCTCCCTTCACCATGCAGTGCAGTGTCCACATCACTGTAGCCATGATCCAAATCCATCTGTCAATCTCCCTCTTCCCTCTCCTCTAACCTGTGAACAAGACCTCTGTGATATTAAAGGTCTTCCACTATGGGCAGCAACTCAACATTAACCCAAAGTGGAAACTCAACTGTTTTCAGGCTTTTTCAGGGCCATATGACTCAGACTTGGAAGAGTTCAATCTTATTCTCGCACTTGGCCATGAACTGCTCCAGTGTAAGACCACCACCTCATGAAGAAAGCAGGACTACATCACCCACAAGAAGCAGAGATGAGATCCTGAGGCCACCTTGGAAGAAACCTTCAGCTACTAGGCTCCACCTAGAAATTCTGTCCATGAAAATTATGAACAGAATTGGTAACAAAAAGAGCTGCTTTGGCTGAATCCAACACCCACTGATGTTGACTACAAATAATTGGCACACAAAACAAACTTTGGCAACATTTGCGCACAAATGAAATGGCTTATATCAGACTATTTATCTATCTAAAGTAAAAATCATCGAAGAGTGCATGACTTTAGGATGCTTTGAGCAATAGCCAGATCAAGTCCATATGAATTATGTAATTAAGTAATGCACTGAATTACTTTTCAGAAGAGAAACAAATAATATATAATTCATTACTGTTTTTTGAGTAATGACCCCGACACCGGTTGGTCCATGTGTGTCACGGTACCGGGTCTGTGGCCCAGTGTTTTGTGTGTGTTTTAGTTCAATTCTTTGATTATTGTTATTCATGGGTTTTGGTTCTGCTTGTGTTATATTTTTAGTCCGAGGATTTTGGTCTCAGGGTCTGCGTCTTTGTGATTTTCTCGTGTTTCCTGTTTTACTTTGAAAGTCTGTGTCCTATGTCAGTGCTTCCCCTTGTCTCATTATGTCTTATTAGTCCCAGCTGTGGTTCCCTCCTGTTTCCCATTCTCTCATTACTCCCTTGTATATTTAAGCCCTGTGTTTTCCATTCCCTTTTCTTGTGTTGTACCACTTCCATGTGCTTTGTGTTTCCTTGCACCTAGTTTCTAGCGTCCCAGTTTCTAGTTTCCTAGTGTTTATGTTCCTTGTCCGTAGTTTCTAGTTTTCTGCTTTTGAATTTTGTTTCTAGTATGTGTTTGCTACAGCGCAACAAAGCTTCCTTTTTGAGTTCATCCTTTCGTGTCTGTGAGTCCTGTATTTGGGTCCTACATCCTACCTGCCACACAACATAACCTGCCAATGTGTTGTTATTTCCAGTCTAAGTTCAACTTTTATTCGTGGGGTTTCTGATGAATACAGTCAAGAAATACAAGAAACAATATTTCTGTGGTAGGATGGAGACTAGGTAGTAATTCTTTTAGTTTTGGATCACCGCCATGACTGTGGATCTGGCACCACTGCCTGGCCTGGGTTCAGTTCATTGTTTTGATAGAGTAATAATATGTTTAGAACTGAGTTGTCTCAGCCAACAACTACCTGGAAACATTCAGAACAGCTGTTAATGTAATAATTAAGTGGAAGATGTGACAGAGTTCCAACTTATTATTGTCCTAATCTTTCCCCAGCAGCCACACATTTTGCTAGTGTTGGCATTAAAACCCACCAAAGATAAGGATAAGTGTCCAATTCATTTTTAATTAGCAATATGCTGAACAAGGAATTAAAAAATAAAATATGTAACAAAATGTTCTCTGGATGATTTTTTTTTAAATGAATTCTTCTTAGTTTTTCATGTATACCACAACATTTCCAACCATCTAGGACTGAAAATATAACATATCAGTTTTAAAGTGTAATGGTAACTTAACAAAACACAACGTTATACACACAAGATTCACACGATGCTATATAATATTTACAAAAACGTGGATAATGCCACCTTCCCAGCATTTGCATTAAGTTGTAGAACAATATGTTCAATTTAAAACTCCCTTTTGGAGGAAATATATGTCAGCACATTTTGTTTGAAAAATTCAGCCAAATATGATCAAGCCTATAATATAATCTGCAAATGTCACATCCGCTCACTTCTTGTGACACTGGGTTTACTTATTTTATACTCCTTTTAAATTAGTATATATGATTCATATTTTCACATTGCTGTTTTGAAATATATACTGTCTGTAGTTGTCTACAAAGAACAGAAATGTCTTCTACATCAGGCTGTCACTGCTTTTTGTAGCTCTGTAGAGGAGCCTCTATGTCAGAGTTGCTGTAATAAAAGAGAGAAGAATATGAGCAACTAAATTCAACAAACTTAAAAAACAGTTTTGAAAAGAGGTGAAACCTAACCTGCTGAGTTCATACATAACTGATTTGGTCTTCAGTTTTTTCAAAGTCAACATATTCAGAAACACAGCAGAGAACACAACAAACTTCAAAAGAAAGATGAAGGAAACAAAGAGGTGAATCCTTCTCTTACCTGCTCAGCTCATATGCGTCAGCTTTCTTCTTCATTTTTTTCAAGAGCCACAAAGCCATAGACACACCAGATAACAAGGCAGTGCCCCCTGTTGCCACACCAACAGTAATTGCAGCTACTGGAGCAGGAGCTGTGGAAACATTGTAAAACGTGAATAATGTGAACTTTTGAACAGAGATTTGTAAGTGTGCACATTTACATTTTGTGTACCATTTGATCTGTTGTTGCTCGTTTACCTTGACAGGTGGGTTTCTCTGCAGTCCAGTTGCCATGATGACCACATGTCAGCAGCTCAGGTCCTTCTAATGAGTAGCCTTGGTCACAGGTGAAGGAGCACTGAGAGTTGTAAACTGACTCAGTGCTGGAGCAACTGATGTGACCGTTTTCAGGAGCCTCAAGCAACAAACATGTAACAGCTGTTGTAAAAGAAAGGAAGATATTGCATATTGAAAAAGTGATCTCACCTGTGCTCGTAAGATTCTGAACATGCAAATGACGTTTTGAACAACAAGTAATCCAAGTAAAATGGGTTCACATGTACCTGTGCAGGTTGGTGATCTGGAGGTCCATTGGCCTGGATGTGTACACTCCATGCTGTGTGCACCTTGCAGCTCATGTCCTTCATCACATGTAAAATGACAAACCATGCCAAGTGGATGGGGTGTGTCATGACTAAGAAATGAAGACAGAGAAGGGCTGCAGCTTATCTGACCATTTGTTGGGACCTCTGGAGCAGGACATCCTTTTGCTACAAAAACAAAAGAGTAAAATATTACTAATATGTCATGACATAATCAATCAAAAAAAAAAAAACTGGCGTAACACTGTTTGTAGTAAATATTGATATAATTAGTCTTTCAGACCTTTGCATGTAGGTATGTTTTCATTCCACTGTCCGTCCTCAGAACACTTGATGGTGTTTGCTCCCTGCAGTTCAAAACCTTCTTCACAGCTGAAGCTGCAGGTGGAGTTTGGTCGCAGTTCAGTCTCAGATTCACTGCACTGCATGATGAGGGGAGCTTCTCTCTCTGGATTCTGGCAAAGGATGGCTGACACAGAAACATGTGTATTTTATTGAACGTGTCCTCATGATATATCAGGATCAGACTACTTTAATAATCCCTAAGGAAATTACGTGGGTTACAGTTGCTCCAAGACAGTAACAGTAACAGACTAAACTATTTAAATAATACAATATGTTACAGAGTTTACAAATTTAAGAAATAGCATTAATAAATACAATCACTGAATTATAAATATGAAGAATATTACAGGGGTGGAATATATATAACTGACATTTGACTAACCTGTAAACTTTGTCATTTGTTATTTTATTTGCTATTTTACTTTGGTATTTTACTGAGCGTGTGCAAAAAGGGTGTAGCTATTGCAGTTTCACAGTGTATTAGATGGAAGAGTTGTACAAGGAGATGGCCACAGGCAGGAATGATTTCCTGTGTCGTTCAGTGGTAGTCTTTGGTAATCTCAGTCTCTCACTAAATGTGCTCCGGTGACTAGCCAGCACGTCATGGAGTGGGTGGAAGGTATTATTCAGCGTTGTCCTTATCTTGGACAACATCCGCCTCTCAGACACCACCCTAAGGGAGTCCAGCTCCATCCCCACAACATTACTGGCCTTGCAGATCAGTTTTTTTAGTATGTTGGCTTCTGCGACCCTCAACCTGCTGCCCCAGCATGCAACAGCATAGAGGATGGCACTGGCCACAACAGTCTCATAGAAAGTTCTAAACATTGTCCGACAGATGTTGAAAGACCTCCGACCCCCCAGAAAATAGAGACAACTCTGGCCCTTCCTGTGAAGTGTAGTGGTGTTTTAACCTAGTCCAGTTTATTGTCTAAGTGTACTCCAAGGTATTAATCGTTCTCCACAATGTCCACATTATATAGAAAATGGGTGGGTTATAAAGAGGGAGCAATACAAACATTATGAAATATGACTAATGTGAACATTTTGAAGTAAAAAGTGTGTAAGTGTGCATGTCACACAGCGGAAATTTGTGTTTTTATGTTTTATCAATCTGTGTATTGGTACATAGTGTTGATTTTATTTGCATGATTTTATTGGGATATTTATATTACATGTTTGTTTATTGATATTTATACTGCATGGTTTTATCCTCATGTTTATATTTGTGTTAACGTTATACCATGTTCCTTTAACCCACTGTGGACTAAACAGACAATTGTAGGCACCTGTGAGGTGGGGGCGTTCCCCAAGGTGGCCTATCAGCCGCCAGGTTGACCTGTTAAAGGGGATGGTGAGCGCAGAGACAAAAGAAGAGAGAGTGACGCACGAAAGGTGGGCAGGAGAAAAAGGAGCGCGTGCAAGCCCGCACGTGTGTGGAAGGAACTGCTGCCTGACTGTGGGGTGCCGCGAGTCGTTCGGCGATCCACTCCCAACGCAGGAACGGCAACAGTCGGTGGCGATGGCTGCAATGCACAACAGGGCAGGGATGCCCTTCTGCCTGCATCTGACGGTGAGACGAGGGAGGCCGTGTTCAGGTGTGGAGTGGGGCGGGACTGTGCGGCGACGCGCTGTCAGGAGGAGACAGGTCTGCGATAGGAGCCCCCTCCCTGGTCTGTTGCTGACGAGTTTCCCCATCCCGGAAGAGAAGTTCCTCTCCTGTCTCTTTCATATAAGGACTTTTCGCCCATGTGTGGCTGGACTGTGGGATTATGGGACTATGGGAGGGTAATTTTAGCATATGGAAAACATTCATTTAGCCTTGTTTTAATATTGTATAGTTATTTCTGCCGGCAGGGTTTTTAGCGGGTTGCGACACTATTTTTATTGTATACGGGGAATTTTATCTTGTATTTGTGACTCTGGCTGTGTTTTTTTTTATGGAAAGTAAATGGTGTTTGAAGCCAGCTTAGTTTCTGTGCCCTGAGCGCTGACCCGCTCACTCCCCTTGTCGCTTGTATGTATAAAGAGGTGGTGGTGAAGATTTAGGTCCACCAGTCTTAGCGGCTACATGCATTTAAAGTTCTTGTTCTATTTGATTCACATTTGTTCGTTTACCTTGACAGGTGGGTTTCTCTGCAGTCCAGTTACCATGATGACCACATGTCAGCAGCTCAGGTCCTTCTAATGAGTAGCCTTGGTCACAGGTGAAGGAGCACTGAGAGCTGTAAACTGACTCAGTACTGGAACAACTGATGTGACCGTTTTCAGGAGCCTCAAGCAACAAACATGTAACAGCTGTTGTAAAGGACAGGAGGATATTGCATATTAAAAAAGTGATCTCACCTGTGCTCGTAAGATTCTGAACATGCAAATGACGTTTTGAACAACAAGTAATCCAGGTAAAATGGGTTCACATGTACCTGTGCAGGTTGGTGATCTGGAGGTCCATTGGCCTGGATGTGTACACTCCATGCTGTGTGCACCTTGCAGCTCATGTCCTTCATCACATGTAAAATGACAAACCATGCCAAGTGGATGGGGTGTCTCATGACTAAGAAATGAAGACAGAGAAGGGCTGCAGCTTATCTGACCATTTGTTGGGACCTCTGGAGCAGGACATCCTTTTGCTACAAAAGGGAAACAGAAGGAGATCAATAAAATATATCATAGTTAAAGAGACTTAAAATAAAAGTGCTACAATGGGTAAACACTGTTTGTAGTAAATATTGATATAATTAGTCTTTCAGACCTTTGCATGTAGGTATGTTTTCATTCCACTGTCCGTCCTCAGAACACTTGATGGTGTTTGCTCCCTGCAGTTCAAAACCTTCTTCACAGCTGAAGCTGCAGGTGGAGTTTGGTCGCAGTTCAGTCTCAGATTCACTGCACTGCATGATGAGGGGAGCTTCTCTCTCTGGATTCTGGCAAAGGATGGCTGACACAGAAACATGTGTATTTTATTGAACGTGTCCTCATGATATAGAAGATGGTGGGTTATACTTTTCGTGTTCCTCTTACCTTCACAGTGAGGAATCTGCTGATTCCATGTACGTCCTGATGTGCAGGTCACTCTACTGGCTCCCACTAAATGGTAACCTTGGTCACAACTGAAGCTGCAGGTGTTTTTGTAGCTGAACCTCGTATCAGCATCTTCTCCACAGCTGACAAAGCCATTTGTCAAGTTTTGCAGCGCAGGGCACTGAACAGCTACAAAAGAGAGAGGCAACAGAAGGAGTTAAATTAAAGCTTTTATTTTAATCATCATGCAAATCATCCTCCAAATAACAAAAACTACACAACGATGAAAGGTAAAAACATGTGGCCGTACCAACACAGTATGGCTGGGATCCATTCCAATTTGCTGATGCTTCACATTGCAGAGATGGAGATCCAGACAGTACATAACCTTCATCACAGGTAAAAGTACAGGTGGACTGATAGCTGAATGAGCCCAGAGGATCAGAGCATTTCATGGATCCATGTGTCGGCTCTGACATCTTCTCACACTGAATCACTGTAGACAACAGGAGAAAAAACATCAGTCCATGACTCCATCACTGTGTAGAAAATCATAACAATCAATAAAATATAGCATCTCAGAATTTCAGTAGCTACTGGGTAATGTCTCATCTCTTCATTTATCTTGTTACTGCAGATTTCCAACTCACATTCACACAAAGGTGGCTTTTCTGACCATTTCCCTGAGGAAGTACACCTTAGAGATTTCTGCACACTCAGCTTGTATCCTTCCTCACAGGAATACTGACACAAGGATTCATAGGTGAAACTACCATACTTGTGAGAGCAATTTTGGGATCCTTTTTCTGGGGCAATAACTTCGCTTTTGTTACACTGCACAGCTGAAAACAAATAAAACACACAATTAGATATTAAATCCTTTACATGACTTAAAATATGATTTAATCTAGGCGGTCATTTTTTTTCATACCTTGGTCACACTTGTCTCCAAAAAACCCTTCAAAGCAATCACATTTGTGGCTGTTGATGGTTTCAACACACTCTCCATGCAAACAGGAGTCAATCTTACAAGCCGCTGCAGAAAGCAAACATGCTTTCATAAGTCTTCTTAATTATATGCAGAGATGAGCAGTAACGCAGTAACTGCTGAGTCTTTGATTTTATTTATTTTTTGCTGTGTTTTACTTGCATCTATTTCAAAGACTGAGTGTAAACACAAAAAAATATTTTATTTTATGTGCTGGAATGTGCAGAAAATGGGTTTAAATGTTAAACAAATTTCTTCAAGTCAAACATGTTTGCATATAAATAACTTTTTGCTTGATGCAATGTGCAGAAAGTTAAAAGATTAAAACTAATAAAACAAATTTTAAAAAGAGCCTTTCTATTTGATTACATTTTATATGATGGATTATGCATAAACAATAGAATTGGGCTGAAAGGTCTATTGTTGTATTACCTATTCAGGTTGTGTATCATGTTTTTCAAAAGTAACTAAGTAACTAATTACTTTTGAAAATAAGTAACCAGTAAAGTAACGGGATTACTTTTTTGGAGACTTAATCATTAATAAGTTACTAATTACTTTTTCAAGTAACTTGACCAACACTGATTATACTACAAGAACATGTCAAATAAATAATTGCAAGCTTTTAGATCATTGAAAATATGAACAAGAATATCAAACATGAAGCAGCTAAAACAAGCTGCTCTAGTATGTTAGTCCCAAACTTTTGCTAACCTGTGTAGCACAGAGCAGTCTTTGATTTTGTACAACTCTCGTCATTCCACTTGCTTGGTTCTTTATCTCTTTTAATATACATCTCCACACAGTCCTCACTGATCTTTGCATTTTTGTCACTCTTGCTGTTGTTCGGTTCTCCTTCTGCCCAGTTGGTTGCTTCCTCTGTCAGAGGCTTGTTGGTTCCTACCCAGGTCCAGACATTATTGATCTTACGGATTCCAATCCAGTAGTAGCCATTTTTCTTGGGCAGCCAGTTGTTAAGATGCTCGATCTCTTCCTGGTTCTGGATGGCCACCATGTCCGTGTAGTGCTCCTGGCACCAGCTTCGTGCATTTTCCCATGTCATTGTGTTGTTTGAATAGAAATAAGACCAGCACTCTACACTAGTCCACATGCACAGCACTAAGGATAGAGAACAGCAATATTTATTAGATGCAAATGTAGTTTAAAAAAAAGGATGGATTTTTTAGAAATTATTTGTAAAGCTTTTTAATTAACTAAAGGTGTGGTTGCATTAAATATACATACTTAAGCAAATAAAGGCGAAGTTGATCCACGAGCTCTTATATCCATGGGTCTGAATTAGTCCAAAGCAGGAATTCTGTAAACATCATATAAAAAAAAAGTTCATTAAATTAAAGCTGAATTGATTTTTACTGAAATCTGCCCTAAAAAGAACAATATTTAAATTGATACCCCACTCACCATGTCAAATGGTATGCCTGATAGCCTACAGTAGATGTTTGACTCTGTGGGTTTCAGCCTCATATGTAGGGATGAAAGTATTCTGAGTGTTATGCACTGGATTTGCTGCTTTTATGTTCTTCTCTTGTATCATCCAGGAAACCTGGAGGATATCAGTTGAATTCCCCCCACCCCTCCAATACTGTCCAGTATTTCGTCATTCCACAGAAGGCTTTAAAAACATTTCCTGTTCAAAACGTTTGTGTCGTCTTACTCAATCAGCTCATAGTGTTCATCAGTCTGTAACTCACAGGTTGAGTTGACAACAGACAACAACCTTAGCTGAGTGATATTTTAAAAAAAATGTGTAAAAATTGCAATATTCTTCACAGTTGATAGATTTGCATTTTTAGGTGCTCTGGTGAAGACAAAACAACTCACTGAACATTTTGTAAAATTATTTAAATGTACAGCAAAGACTGTGTGAAAGGGTGGAGTAGCTCAGGACAAACGCCTCATTTCAACACTGACCTTACTTTGGTAAGTTTCTTTCCCTGGAGAAAAAAAAACAAAGAAGTTGATTTCTTTTGAGGTATACTGCAATAAGATTTCATTTTATTTATTTTATTTCTTCAACACATAATTGAGAAAGTAACTGACTTTGTCAGAAGATGGTAGAGAAGCTGTTTAGAGTCTGAAGAAAAAAGAGAGAGAAAAAAGTACACTCATACAGTGTGGTATGTCGATGTGACTACTGCTGCTAAGGACCATGGCCTCAGACTTTGATGCTCATTCTCATTGTTTAACAATTGGATGTGAACTTCTCCAGCCCAAGCTGGATGAAACCAACAGGGCCACACCAACCACAAAAAGCAGAGATGAAATTCTGAGGCCACCTGGGTGGAACCCTTAAGTCTGCACCGAGAAATTCTGTCCAGAAAAATTATGAATCAAAAACAAAGGGGACAAAGGGTAGCCCTGGCAGAGCACTCATGCCCAACATCCATCAATAGTGAGTCCAACTTATTACTGGCAATTGTGCACTCACTGAATGCCTTATATCTAATTACCTTACTAAAAAAAAAACGATAAAAGACTGCATAACCTCAGAGCATCTAAGTGGCTAGAAAAGAATTCAATGCAAAATCCAGATCAAAAGGTAACTAATGTATAGTGGCTGTGCAGAAACGCTGTTGAGTGTGGTTCCTGAACATGGAAGGACACTTTCATTGGAGTTTTGTAAAGTTTGTAATATATTATTTAATTTAGTTAAGTCTGTTACTGTTATTATCTTGTAACCATATAATTTCCTCAGGGACTAATAAGTGTTCTGATTCTGATTAAAATAATAAAAACAAACTGTGATTTTTCCATATGTTAACACAAAGGTTCCAAGGACGTCTTTGAGGCTGCCTCTAATGTGTATAAAAATACAATACCAGCAACCAGCAGGGGGAGATAATATATTTAAATCCACTGAGTCGGTAGTAAGCTAAAAACATATGAAGTACAAAGCCTTTAAAAAGACATTATTAACACACACACACACACACACACACACACACACACACACACACACACACACACACACACACATATATCTTCTGCTTATCCTTTTAGGGTCCCTTGGGGGAGGGCTGGGGCCTATCCCACCTATCTTAGGGCAACTATTTGCACTCACATTCACAACTATGGGCAATTTAGAGTTTCCATTTAACCGATCCCCACTAACTGCATGTCGCAGTACCCACACATGAACACGGACAGACCATGCAAACTCTACAAAGAAAGATCCCGGCCTGATGGTGGAATTTAACTCAGGATCAGCGCAACAGTGCTAACCACCACACCACGTGTGCATAGTATTAACAACATATTAAACAAAAACTTTAACTTACTGATATTTAAAACAGCATCCAGAGCATGTTTGAATCTACCTGTTACCACTGCATTGTAATTAATATTAGTAACTGTACAACTGTTCTAAATAAGACTTGTTGTTTATAGTTGTGTATCACATGATGGACTGGCTTCTTCAGGCAGCCTGTGAATAACATGAAAAACAAAAAGAAAGCTCTCAGCATTTTCTTTTTTGTTCATTCTTTGAATTTCTTTTTTTTATTGCTAGGTTGGCAAAGGCTGTGTGGAAGGGTGGAGCAGCAACGCATAATTTCAACACTGACCTTACTTGGGTAAGTTTCTTTCTCGTGAGAAACAAACAGAGATATTATCACTTTTGAGGGGTGTTGCAATGAGATTTCATATGCTCTCTTACTTCTATAACATATACTTGAGAAAAACTGAGTATGTTTATGTTTTATGTAGCAAAAACAGATGCAGCAGAAGGTAAAAATAGCTCCACACTCGACTGCAGCTAATAGAGTCTGTTTATAGTCTAAGGGGAGAAAAACCAAACAAAAAAAACCCAACATGCAGTGACAGTAGCATGACACTAGTATTGCTGATCGTAATAACCTAGAATGAAGAAAAAACACGATCCAATTGTCAGCCTTCATATTTAACTTGCTTTCCAACAACATTTTACAAACATTTACACAATTTTATGAAATTACATGCACAAGTATGTCTTGGGCCACTTCAGACCTCTGTGTGTCTACAAATGACAGCTGGTGAACCAATCATGAGAAAGCCAGGGTTACGCTTAACCCGACAGGTTGTGTTGAATGTCTGATTTACCTTCTGAGCAGCTATGGTATCCATTTTCTGACTGATCCAGAGAAGGGCATTACACAGCTAAGGGCACAAATGGGTTATGCATAATTTAATGTAATATAATCGAACAGGTTTCTAATATAAAAATAACAGATTTCAAAGTATTTGTATAGCGTTTTTCTAGTCACACTGACCTCTCAAAGCGCTTTATACCAGCAGCAACATCTAATAATAGGTTCATACTTTAATCTATACATTTTTACTTATGAAGGAGTGTAGAATCACCACTTCATCTGACTAGTATTTCTTCGAACTGTGGGAGGAAACCCACACAAGCACAGGAAGAACATGCACAATCCACACATAAAGGTCCCAACTAGGATTCTAAATAGGAACCTTCCTACTGAGAGGCGATACTGCCAATCCACGTATTGTCATCAGAGCTCTGACAATGTGATAACTGTAACAGTACTACGACGAGCCCTGTTCATGCTAATAACTTATAATGATTCACTGGAAGCAGGATCGATGCGGCAGAGGAAAAAATATTCCTCGCTGGAATATTGAATTACCACGTTAGTGAGAATCCCGGCTTATAGATTCCTGTCCGATATCGTGTACCTTCAGTGATTGCTTCCCTTCCTGGCTTCAGATTCTTGGACCCTTCCTTTTCCCTGCTTATTGGAAGATTTAGCGTGAGCTGAGAGCGTGACCGGAGTGTGAGGAACGGCTGAGACCCCGCGAGTGTGGAGCACCTGTCCTGACTTTGAATGGCAGCTCTTTGCCAATTTCAATACTAAACTGCTCACGTTTGGCACCTTTCTCTCTCAAAACCATGTTCACAGTTATATTGTTGATAGTCTCCTGGCATCTCCCATCTTCACATGATGTTGCATTACACTGGGTTTTAAGAAAAAGCTCACCAATAAAAGGTCACTTATCACTTCAAAACTCACACAGATTCTTGTTTTTCTTTGTACAGAAGACTGTGTCTTTTTCCTTGATGACTGATATAAAATCATTAGTTTTAAGATAAGATTTATTGAGTTTATCCCATCAAATTTACTTTGGGAAATTGCTCTGTCACAATAGTTAAACACAAAAATAAAAATGGTGGAATGGTGTATAGATCAGTAAAATAAGATATAAACAAATATACAAGCATATAAAAAAAACTTAATGAAATAAATAACAGAATGAATATTTTACAAGGTAAAACTACTAATCTATGCAACAAAAATTGTGATACACTTCTATCATTCAACTTCCTTCTATTTTTTCCTGAGTTAGTGTACATCTCCACACACATATCTGTAGAGTGGATATTATTTGATTCATACAGGGCCCTTGAATTGTTACTGATCCACGTGCTGTTATTATCTGTCATCTGCACCAGAAAAAAATAACAACAATAGTTAAGACTAACAGTACTTCTCATAAGTAACAATGAAGATCATGATGAAAAGGACTGAATAAGAAAATCCTGACTTATTTTTATAATAACACCATAAAATGCTCTGTGAACCTGTAAACACAAGCTGCTACTTCAGTTAAACATTTGCTTTTCTAATCAACTCAAATATAAACAAAAAAGGTGTTACAGCAGTAAAATAAGTGTGTTTTTTAAACACAATTAAAAATCAGTGTCAGGCTTTTGTAAGTTTCCCTTTTTTTTATCATACAATAAGTGGATGTTGTCACCTTCAGCCTTATGTAAGACATTAGGTCCTTTTCCTGTACCACTAAAGTGCTTTCACAGATAACAATCAGTTTATTAAAACAAACAATGAGCAATGGGGAAATGAAATACACAGGAATACAGTTCTTCCTTCCTTGAATAACTGCTAATGACCTTCATGAGAGAGAAGAGAGAGGTCTGAGCATTTTCAAAAGACATTCTTGTTTAGCCCTTAAAAAAAACACACGGTGGCAGAAGGTCATTGTGAAACTGCAAGATCAGGTTGATGATGGGCAGAACTGATGAGTCAAGCTTAAATTCTGGTTCCACATGAGCCTGGAATAGATCCTGCTTGGCTACGCATTTACAGCAATGTGGTGACACAGCTGAACTGTTATTATTAGTCCTGATGAAGAAAAGTGAATGTGCCAACAGCAAACAAAGACATTTGTCTTCATATTTTTTCCAAAAAGGTTTATTAGGTTTGCATATATTCCAGAATTTCATAAAACATCAACTGTAAAATTTCATAGTATAAAAAAACAGTGAAGGTAAAAGAAAACACAACTTTACACATAAAAACAATAAAATAAAAATTCAATTCGAACTATCCTATTCTAAAATAAATAGTAAATAAATACATATCAAATTATTCACATTTGTGCAGCTAAATGACAATTCACACATAACGTTATGTAACATTTATGGTGACATGAATCGTGCCACCTTTCCAGCATTTTCATGAAGTTGTAGAACAATATGTTCAATATGAAATTCCATTCTGGAGGATATACATGTTGTAACAACATTTCAGAGCAATTGCAGATCTTTTAAAAGTTTCAGGAAAATTCAAATGTCACATTATGTCACTCCTTGTCACATTTAGTATGGCTGTTTTTTTCCCATCTGTTATGCTAGTGTATATGATATGTACTTTTTGCATTTCTGTGGAGAAATATACAGCTGTCTGTAGCTGCCTTAGAGGAAGAGAAGTGTCTTCTATATTAGGCTGTCGGTGCTGTTTTTGTAGCTCTGTGGGGAAGACTCTATGTCAGAGTTGCTGTGAAAAAAGAGAGGAGAGGATAAGACAACAAACTTCAAAAGAAAGATGAAGGAAACAAAGAGATGAATCCTTCTCTTACCTGCTCAGTTCATATGCGTCAGCTTTCTTCTTCATTTTTTTCAAGAGCCACAAAGCCATAAACACACCAGATAACAAGGCAGTGCCCCCTGTTGCCACACCAACGGTAACTGCAGCTACTGGAGCAGGAGCTGTGGAAACATTGTAAAACGTGAATAATGTGAACTTTTGAACAGAGATTTGTAAGTGTGCACATTTACATTTTGTGTACCATTTGATCTGTTGTTGCTCATTTACCTTGACAGGTGGGTTTCTCTGCAGTCCAGTTGCCATGATGACCACATGTCAGCAGCTCAGGTCCTTCTAATGAGTAGCCTTGGTCACAGGTGAAGGAGCACTGAGAGCTGTAAACTGACTCAGTACTGGAGCAACTGATGTGACCGTTTTCAGGAGCCTCAAGCAACAAACATGTAACAGCTGTTGTAAAAGAAAGGAAGATATTGCATATTGAAAAAGTGATCTCACCTGTGCTCGTAAGATTCTGAACATGCAAATGACGTTTTGAACAACAAGTAATCCAGGTAAAATGGGTTCACATGTACCTGTGCAGGTTGGTGATCTGGAGGTCCATTGGCCTGGATGTGTACACTCCATGCTGTGTGCACCTTGCAGCTCATGTCCTTCATCACATGTAAAATGACAAACCATGCCAAGTGGATGGGGTGTGTCATGACTAAGAAATGAAGACAGAGAAGGGCTGCAGCTTATCTGACCATTTGTTGGGACCTCTGGAGCAGGACATCCTTTTGCTACAAAAGGGAAACAAAAGAGTAAAATATTACTAATATGTCATGACATAATCAATCCAAGAAAAAAACTGGAGTAACACTGTTTGTAGTAAATATTGATATAATTAGTCTTTCAGACCTTTGCATGTAGGTATGTTTTCATTCCACTGTCCGTCCTCAGAACACTTGATGGTGTTTGCTCCCTGCAGTTCAAAACCTTCTTCACAGCTGAAGCTGCAGGTGGAGTTTGGTCGCAGTTCAGTCTCAGATTCACTGCACTGCATGATGAGGGGAGCTTCTCTCTCTGGATTCTGGCAAAGGATGGCTGACACAGAAACATGTGTATTTTATTGAACGTGTCCTCATGATATAGAAGATGGTGGGTTATACTTTCCGTGTTCCTCTTACCTTCACAGTGAGGAATCTGCTGATTCCATGTACCTCCTGATGTGCAGGTCACTCTACTGGCTCCCACTAAATGGTAACCTTGGTCACAACTGAAGCTGCAGGTGTTTTTGTAGCTGAACCTCATATCAGCATCTTCTCCACAGCTGACAAAGCCATTTGTCAAGTTTTGCAGCGCAGGGCACTGAACAGCTACAAAAGAGAGAGGCAACAGAAGGAGTTAAATTAAAGCTTTTATTTTAATCATCATGCAAATCATCCTCCAAATAACAAAAACTACACAACGATGAAAGGTAAAAACATGTGGCCGTACCAACACAGTATGGCTGGGATCCATTCCAATTTGCTGATGCTTCACATTGCAGAGATGGAGATCCAGACAGTACATAACCTTCATCACAGGTAAAAGTACAGGTGGACTGATAGCTGAATGAGCCCAGAGGATCAGAGCATTTCATGGATCCATGTGTCGGCTCTGACATCTTCTCGCACTGAATCACTGTAGACAACAGGAGAAAAAACATCAGTCCATGACTCCATCACTGTGTAGTAAATAATAATATAATTACAAAAAAAAAAGTAGCAATATTATAAGCTATTAGCACTTAAACTCACTTTCACATGTAGGGGTTTTTTCTGACCATTTTCCTGACCCCGTGCACCTCAGAGGAGTCTGCACACTCAGCTTGTATCCTTCCTCACAGGAATACTGACACAAGGAGTCATAGGAGAAACTGCCATAGTTGTGAGAGCAATTTACATGTCCTTTATCTGGAACAACCACTTCACCTTTGTTACACTGCACAACTGACAACAAATAAAACACACAGTTAGATATCAAATCCTTTATGTGACTTAAAATATGTATTTAAACTACGCTGTCATTTTGTTTTCTTACCTTGGTCACACTTGTCTCCAAAAAACCCTTCAAAGCAATCACATTTGTGGCTGTTGATGGTTTCAACACACTCTCCATGCAAACAGGAGTCAATCTTACAAGCCGCTGGAAAAAACAGACATGCTTTTAGAAATTTTACCTATTATAGTAAAATAATGTGTCACATAATTAATCTTAATTTTTTAATCTGCTCTAGTATGTTAGTCCCAAAATTTTGCTCACCTGTGTAGCACAGAGCAGTCTTTGATTTTGTACATCTCTCGTCATTCCACTTGCCTGGTTCTTTATCTCTTTTAATGTACATCTCCACACAATCCTCACTGATCTTTGAATTTATTTCTCTCTCGCCATTGTTCGGTTCTCCTTTTGCCCAGTTGGTTGCTTCCTCTGTCAGAGGCTTGTTGGTTCCTACCCAGGTCCAGACATTATTGATCTTACGGATTCCAATCCAGTAGTAGCCATTTTTCTTGGGCAGCCAGTTGTTAAGATGCTCAATCTCTTCCCGGTTCTGGATGGCCACCATGTCTGTGTAGTGCTCCTGGCACCAGCTTCGTGCATTTTCCCATGTCATTGTGTTGTTTGAATAGAAATAAGACCAGGACTCTACACTAGTCCACATGCACAGCACTAAGGACAGAGAACAGAGATACACATTAGATGCATATGTGGCAGAAAGGATGGATTTTAAGAATTTCTCTTTGGTTGTAAAACTTGCAAGAGTTACACTGATGTTTCTGCTTGCATCAAAATTCTTTACCTAAGCAAATGAAGGTGAAATTCATCCATGAAGCAGAGCTCTTATATCCCCAGGTCTTAAGTAGTCCAAAGCAGGAATCCTATGAAAATAAAATCACAAAACAAGTTAAAATACATTTACAGCGTGCTATCATCATTAAATATAAGATAAAAGTGAAATAATGTTCTCTGAAAAGATTGATATTTAAATTACTAACCCTTCTACTCACCATGTTAACTAATATGCCTGATAGCCTACAGAAGATTGTTGATCCTTCCGCCTCAGTATATTTAAGGATAAAATGATTCTGAGTGTGATCCACTGGATTGCCTCCTCTTATATATGACTCCATCCTCCTACAGGAAGCCTTTCAGCGGAATTTCCCGCAACATTTCCCAATGCTGAATTCCACAGAAGGCTTCAGGATCATTTCCCACAAGAAAGAAAAAAGACAAAAAGAAAACTTCTATTGTCTGTCATCATCAAAAAAGCATTAAATGATATTAACTTAAACAAATTCAAATAAATTCAATCAATATAAGTATTGATAACTTTATATGCTGCAACACTGGCTGCCAGCTGTGTTCACACATTGTCTGGTCCTACGGAATCAGAATCTGAAATATCAGTTTATAAAACTGTTGGTTTTCTGTTGTCTTATGTTGAAACAGAGGATGATGATTTTCAGTGTGCTTGCCAAAACAGTTTGGATCTGGGTCAGCTCCACCGAGAGGAAACCTTTAGACCCATAGGGATGGAAACAGTGAGTAGAGCATTGATCTTGACGTGGAAATGGTTTGCATGATTAAAAAACGGGGAAAATATATTCATTAGAGAATAAGGTCAGGTCTTTGGCTCAGGTTTATAAAAATATTTGTAATCCTTTTCAGGTTAAACAAAGACACCGAAGTTTGTCATGAACAAGCGAGGGACATATTAGTAATAATCTAATTATAAATGGGTGGATATTATGAGGTACCGGGGAGCAGACTGGGAGACTGGGAAAACATCAAATGTTGTTATTTGTGATGTTTTTTTGTTTTGTTTTTTACAATGTATTACAACTGATGTATTTATTTATTTATTTGTGGTGAACATAAAGATGAACCACAGATAGAATATTTGTAACTGTTGCATGGATACTGGTTTATGCCATTTAGATAAAACAGGAATGAATAATGTGAGGAGAAAAATAAATATTATTCATAATGAATAAGTTGTAATAATTCATCTCTCAAAGAGTTACCTATCGTGTTAGAAAAGTCAGAGTTATTCAGAATGAATTATCAGAGTAGTCCTGCGTTGTTCCTTACTGTTTTGAATATGTCGTATCTGTTTCTATAAATAAGGATGAGTAATATCGTCTTATCTGTCTTTAGTTACTCATTATTGTCACTACATTTACACTTATTCATAAAAAGATAAAGGACATTATTTATCCTTCTGGAATTGAGCCACTGGTAAATTTTGTGTTATCATTTTGGTCAAAGCTTCCTTTCAGGAAGGCTTTCACTCATATACGCACACCCCCACACAGACACATGCATACACAGTAAGTCCTTGTGACTCATTTCATGTGAGAGTATAGTAAAGGATCACATCCTGACTTTAAACCTACACAATTATAAAGTTAAATTTATGCAATAGGTCAAATGTGACATTCCTCCAAAATCTTTGTCCATATCAACATGATGTCGTCACCCAGTTGCTGGAGACTTGTCAGCTGCACATCCATGATGTAACTCTCTCTAAAATGTGCTCTTTTGAGTTGAGAACCGGTGACTGTGGAGGCCTTTGGTTACAGGGAAATTGTCAGGTACAAGAATTTCAAAACTTACTTTTCATGCTCACATTTCTTTCTTGTGAAGAGTAAATAGAGCTATGGATTATTCTGGACCTGTTTTGCCATAAACTTGCACTGAATCTCTTAGCAATAGTATTGCTGTTCTAGTCAGTGGTAATAATATCTCATACTGAGTCACTAGAAGTAGAATCAGTTTACCAGAGATATAAAAAAAAACCCTAACAGCACTGAACCGTCAGCCTTAGTCAGAATTATTTATCATTATCTTTAAATGAAGTGAATGCATAAGTTCAATGAGGAGAATTTGTATTCACTCATCAGCCCTGCATGGGTATTCAGGTATGTTAAAATTATGTAAAAAAAACAAACAAAATAATGATGAAAAGTACAAGTTATTGAAATATGTAGAGCATGTTGTGTGGAAAGAAATATTTTAAAAACATTCAGACATCTGAAAGTGTGTATAAGGATGCATAAATATGCCAGGATGACCTGACTTAACTAACTGTGGTAGTTTCCTCAGTTTATACTGTCCTTTACTAATAATAAATTACTAATAACTTTGACTTGCTATTCTTTGCCCATTCTAATAGCCATCTGCTCACCTGTTTGGCTTTTTTTTCAACCTGGGTAATTATGAACACCCCCCCCCCCTCCCCCAAACAAAGCATGATTAAAATGCTTGCTATTAATACCAAAATAATATTTCCTGTTATTCCTTTTTTCAGATAACAGCCTTATCCTTTGCCAAGCTGCATACAAATGAATCAAGTTCAGGAGAAGATATGATATTCTTAATAAATCCCAAAGTTGGTAAATTTAATAGTTACAGCAGTTAAAGATGTGACAAATAATTATACAAATATAAATGTTCAATGAAAGTGATATTATGACAATCATATGACAATTTAAAATATTTCTAAATCAACAAAATAAGAACAGGATTTAAAATGGTGCAAAATTTTGTATAGGAAATATCAAACTTTAAAATAATCTTCACCACTTGATGTTAAATTGCTGCATTTCCCATCATTCCATTCTCCTCAGTTTCGTCCTGAGTTAGTTTACAAAAAAAACAAAAAACACTGCGGCTATTTGGCTCATTTGTTGCTGATGAATCATTACCGATCCGTATGCTGTTATTCTCAAACTGTGTCCAAATTTCACTCTTGTGTTTTTTGGGGAGTGGAATCCAGAAATACAGGGAGAAAATATCCTTTGCAGCAGGATAGAGACCAGACAGTCATCCTCCTCTTGGTTTCAACATCATGTCTGTGAATCTGGCCTGGCACCACTGTCTGGCCTGGGTCCAGGTCATTGTCTTGCTGGAGTCGTGATGCATCCCGCAGACAGTAGTCTCATCCAAAGAATTATCTGAAAACATTCAGAATAATTCATAGTGTGATGATTATAACATGTAACAGTGTTGCATGTTCCATGACATCAGTCACACATTTTGCTAGCATCAAATCTAAAACCCAAAGATAATATCAATAATTTATATCAACCTTAATCCTATATTATTAATCTGTTGCCTACCCAAGGTGAAAGGTGGATATATTTACATCCATTATGATGCATATTATCATTAAAAATGACTGATGAGAAAATGTCTCATTTACTCAGATGTTATGTTGTTTGACAGAAGCTGCTGCTGAAGTTAAATCTTTGCTTATCTGATCAACCCAAACATAAGATAAGAAAGTGCTGCAGCAGTAAAAATAATTGTGCGTCCATTCAGTGCATCTAAGGGTCATTGCCAGGTTTTTGTAAGCTCTCATTTTTACATTCAGGGCAGCCTTAGCATAGAATAACTCGATGTTCACAACATGTTGTCATATTCAGCCTTATGTAAGATATCTGACCCTTTCCTGTCCCACGAAAGTGCTTGCACAAATGACACTCAATTAAAACAATGGATAGAATACCCAGAAATATAGCTTTTCCTTCCTACCTCTCACTTTTCAATTTTATTCTGCTTTGTCATGTCCTTTATGATGGAAAGGTTGCTGGAGAGACAAAAGGTCCAGGCAGCTTTCAAAAGAGGTTCTTTCTCAACCTCTAAAAAAAGTCATGGTGGCAGAAGGTCATTGCTAAAACTGTGAGAGTCGGTGCATGTCGTGCAGAATTGATGAGCCAAGTTATGAAAGCAGACGGCTTCAGACCCTGCTCGGCTAAGCATTTCTATCATTGTGGTGACAAAACTAATGGAATATTTTTATTGGTCATTATAACAAAACATGGAAGTGCCAAAATCAAATTTTTTTAAACAATATTTATTTGTTTTGTGTGTACATGAGAACATTACAGTTACAGTGGCTCGGTAAATAAAAATAAAAATATAGCTTTGTACAAGCAAACACCTGAATAAACATTCACCACAATTTTCTTTTAGAAAATAAATACCACATAAATACTAAAAAGAATTCACAGGTATGCAGGGAAATGGCAGCTTACATGTTATGTGACGTTTAAAGTAACAGGAATAGCCACATTTTCCCAGCATTTTCATGAAGTTGTAGAACAATATGTTCAATATAAAATTCCCACTGGGAGGAAATACATGTTGAAACAACATTTCAGAGCGATCACAGATCTTTTTACAGTTTACAAAGGGATACAATGATTCAGTGGATGTGTCTAAATAAGCTCTTTTTCTTACATTGGCTTTGCCTTATTAGAGTGTTATACTAGTGCAAATAATATGTTGTGCAATAATGTGGTAAAAATTTACAGTATTCATATTTGTTTATTAAGAATATCAGAGATTTCTATATTAGGCTGTCAATGCTGTTTTTGTAGCTCTGTGAGGGAGACTCAGTGCTGCTGTAATAAAAGAGAGAAGATTAGCACTGAAATTTCAATAAACTTAAAAATAAAGAAAATAAAAATGGTTAATCCTTCTCTAACCTGCTCAGGTCGAATTTGGTTACATTCTTCTTCATTTTTTTCAAGACCCACATAGCCATAGACACACCAGATAACAAGGCAGTGCCCCCTGTTGCCACACCAGCAGTAACTGCAGTAATTGGAGCAGGAGCTGTGGAAACACGGTGAAATGTGAATAGCGTCAAACTTTGAACTGAAACTTGTTATGTTAAGTTTATGCATTTTAACTTCTTGTTCCCCTTGTTCTGTTGTTGCTTATTTACCTTGACAGGTGGGTTTCTCTGCAGTCCAGTTACCATGATGACCACATGTCAGCAGCTCAGGTCCTTCTAATGAGTAGCCTTGGTCACAGGTGAAGGAGCACTGACAGTTGTAAACTGACTCAGTGCTGGAACAATTGATGTGACCGTTTTTAGGAGCCTCAAGCAGCGGGCATCGAACAACTGTTGTAAAGGACAGAAAGATGTGACTTTCATGTCATTAACATACAAATGAAGTTGTGAACAACAAGTAATCCAAGTAAAATGGGTTCACATGTACCTGTGCAGGTTGGTGATCTGGAGGTCCATTGGCCTGGATGTGTACACTCCATGCTGTGTGCACTTTGCAGCTCATGTCCTTCATCACATGTAAAATGACAAACCATGCCAAGTGGATGGGGTGTGTCATGACTAAGAAATGAAGACAGAGAAGGGCTGCAGCTTATCTGACCATTTGTTGGGACCTCTGGAGCAGGACATCCTTTTGCTAAAACAAAGAAAAAGAAAGAAAGAAAATTAATCAGTAACATATAAGAACACAGACACTGTTAAAATTGCTATGATGAGTGAAAGGTGTTTGCAATAAATAGTGATACAACTAGGCTTTCAGATGAATGATGGCTGACACAGAAACATGTGTATTTTATTGAACGTGTCCTCATGATATAGAAGATGGTGGGTTATACTTTTCGTGTTCCTCTTACCTTCACAGTGAGGAATCTGCTGATTCCATGTACCTCCTGATGTGCAGGTCACTCTACTGGCTCCCACTAAATGGTAACCTTGGTCACAACTGAAGCTGCAGGTGTTTTTGTAGCTGAACCTCGTATCAGCATCTTCTCCACAGCTGACAAAGCCATTTGTCAAGTTTTGCAGCGCAGGGCACTGAACAGCTACAAAAGAGAGAGGCAACAGAAGGAGTTAAATTAAAGCTTTTATTTTAATCATCATGCAAATCATCCTCCAAATAACAAAAACTACACAACGATGAAAGGTAAAAACATGTGGCCGTACCAACACAGTATGGCTGGGATCCATTCCAATTTGCTGATGCTTCACATTGCAGAGATGGAGATCCAGACAGTACATAACCTTCATCACAGGTAAAAGTACAGGTGGACTGATAGCTGAATGAGCCCAGAGGATCGGAGCATTTCATGGATCCATGTGTCGGCTCTGACATCTTCTCGCACTGAATCACTGTAGACAACAGGAAAAAAAACATCAGTCCATGACTCCATCACTGTGTAGAAAATAATAAAAGTACCAAAAAGTAGTAGCAATATTATAAGCTATTAATACTTAAACTCACTTTCACATGTAGGGGGTTTTTCTGACCATTTTCCTAAGGAAGTACACCTCAAAGGTCCTGGCACACTCAGCTTGTATCCTTCCTCACAGGAATACTGACACAAGGAGTCATAGGAGAAACTGCCATAGTTGTGAGAGCAATTTACATGTCCTTTATCTGGAACAACCACTTCACCTTTGTTACACTGCACAACTGACAACAAATAAAACACACAGTTAGATATCAAATCCTTTATGTGACTTAAAATATGTATTTAAACTACGCTGTCACTTTGTTTTCTTACCTTGGTCACACTTGTCTCCAAAAAACCCTTCAAAGCAATCACATTTGTGGCTGTTGATGGTTTCAACACACTCTCCATGCAAACAGGAGTCAATCTTACAAGCCGCTGGAAAAAACAGACATGCTTTTATAAGCCTTGCTAATCATAGTAAAAATAATATATCAAATAAACTATTTCTAAATGTTTTATCAGTAGATTACCTTGATAATAATGAACCAGAATAACAAATCTAAGGCAGCTAAAATAAAGCATATAAGCCCCAAACTGTTGCTTACCTGTGTAGCACAGAGCAGTCTTTTTTTTCATACACCTCTCGTCATTCCACGTGCCTGGATTTTGGTCTCGTTTAATGTACATCTCCACACAGTCCTCACTGACTCCTACACTTTGTCCAGTTTTGCCATTGTTCGGTTCTCCTTCTGCCCAGTTTGTCGCTTCTTCTGTCAGAGTTTTGTTGGTTCCTACCCAGGTCCAGACATCATTGATCTTACGGATCCCTATCCAGTAGTAGCCCTTTTTTTTGGGCAGCCAGTTGTTAAGATGCTCGATCTCCTCCCGGTTCTGGATGGCCACCATGTCTGTGTAGCTCTCCTTGCACCAATTACGTGCATCATCCCATTTCATTGATTTGTTTGAATAGACGTAAGACCAGGACTCAACACTAGTCCACATGCACAGCACTAAGGATACAGAACAGAGATACACATTAGATGCAATTTTTTGCAAAAATGCAAAAAATGTTAAGTTTCTATCAGGCTATAAAACTTGCAGGTGGGATGATGTCTGCATTGCACATACTTGAGCAGATAAAAGTGAACTGGATCCATGATGCACGTGCCTGAAATAATCCATAGCACAATTCCTAAAAAATAAGTTAGAAAGATGCATTAACATACATTAATAGTATACTATCAATCACAGGCTATAAGATACAACTGAATAAATCTGCAGTGCAGAGAATGGAATTTAAACTGATTCAACTTCCACTTACCATTTTAAGTGATTCTTTAGCCTTTGACTTCAGTGCAGATCGATGTGATTCTGAGGGTTTTGCGCTGAAGTGCCTGCTTTTATGGTGCTTGGCTTGGTCCAGGTTTCCTGAAAGCTTTCATAACAATTGGACTTTTGAGTGGAAACTCCACCCCGACTCTTATACTCCTCCACTCTACGAGAGGCTGTTCCTTTTGAGATAAAAAGAAAAGCAAAAGTAAAGTTAAAAAGAAAAGAAAAATAACAAATGAAATTCTGTTATTTATTAACACAGTTGCTATTTTCATTAGTATGAAGTTCTTTCAGTATTACTTTCAGTATCATTATCATAAGCAGAAAACAAGTGTATTTACTTCGGTTTACAAACTATTTTCATGAAGTTACTAGTTACTAGTGTATTACATTTTGTGCTACCTTATATGAGTATCACACTACACTGCACTGCACGTGCAAATATTGCATTTTTAAACATATGCACAACCACTGCATATAGTGTTCTTCACTGAGATGCCATCAAAACATGCTGCTCAGAGTGCTTTAGAGAACAATAACACATGCAAAAAGCCCCACACAGTCCATCAGCCCTGCTTCAAAAGCACCTGTGAACATCATTTAAGTGATCCTCTCATTAATTCGGGTGAGAATGTTGATGAGGAGAAGATCTGTCAAGCTAAACTGACTGAGTTAAAACAACAGGCAGTGGTTATTGAAGTCATTGTTCTTACTCTATTAACCATGGTTATCTGCAGGAAAACATGTACAGTCATCACTGCTTTGCATAAAAAGAGCTTCCCAGGGATACTGATGCTAGTAAGATTGCACCTAAATCAACCAATTATTGGAGCATGAAGAACTTTAAAGAGAGAAGTTCAGTTGTTATAAATACGTTTTCAGGGCACCTTACAAAGCCCAGCAAGCGCCAGTACCATCTCCTAAAGCAGGGGTTTCAAACACAAGGCAGGGGGCCAGAACTGGCCTGCCAAAGACTCCAATCTGGTCATTGGATAGTTTTTGGAAAATGTCAATGAGAGGATACATTTTATTTTTTCAACTGCATTTTCTATATTTTTATCAGCTTATGAAAATACCACGCTAAACTGAAATAGCAGAAAAGTTCCTACTTTTTTACTGTCTACGAAATAAAAAAAAATTTCTCCATGGGCTCACGTTATTAAAATGGGCATTTTTTGTTAATTAACAAGATGTTTTATAATTTTAGGACAGACTGGGCAATGAGCTACCAGACTTCTAATTTCTTACAATTTAAGTCCAAAGACTGATCCTGACAGATTTCTTTCATTTACCAAAACAGCATTTCTTTCTCACGAACAAAAAGAGATGTACTGTTGAAACTTATTTTTCTTTTATCACAGGGTTTAAATGTGTAGTTAAACTTCTTTAGATTGATAGAAAGAGTTTCACTGGTCTGGCCCACTTTACATGAAAGGGGGCTGTATGTGGCCCACAGTGTAAAATGAGTTTGCCATCCTTGTCCTAAAATTATTCAGTTGCTTAGGAAAGACAGCAGGCAGGTGTGAGTGTGAGTGAGACTGATGTTTTTCAAAAAAACTACAGGTACTGCAGAGGCCTGTGTTAAAAGTCATTTTTTCTCTGATGAAGCCCCTTTACAATTGTTTGAGACAGCCAGAGAAATGATTGTCCAGAGACGAAAAGGTGAGCTCTAACATCAGGCCTGTGTCATGCCAACAATAATGAATCTTGTGACTATTCGTGTGTGGGGTTACGTCTCATACATAGGCGTGGGATCACTCACAATTGTGCCTAAAAACATAGCCATGAATAAAGAATGGCACCAAAACATGAAAGCATTTTTCCCAACCACCAACAAGAACATTTTGCTAAAAAACAATGCCATTCCCAGCATGCTGGAGCAAAAGTGATAGCTAAGCTTGGGGAACAGAGGTGGCTGCACTTACCTCAGCTGTGGTGATGGGGCTCTGTGTGGGTTGAGTCACCTCTGATGTGTTTGTGGGTCGGTCTGTCTCAATAACTTTAGCGACATGTTGAATAGTACCCAGGGCTGTTCTCTTCGGTAGAATTATTTCGTGTTTGGAGTGGTTAGAGATGGGGACCTTAACAAATGGCCTTTGATGGTTGTTGATCTCAAGGAGCCCTTCCCCAACACTCAGGTGTCTCAAGGCAGTGTTCTCATCGGGTTCGTACAGCACCAGGGGGTCACAAATGTCAAAACTTTGGGGTACTCTGCACCACACTTGGACTGCTTTTCCAGCAGGAATGGTCACATTGCTCTTCCCAATTCTCACTGTGGCTGGGTCACATCCTGCTCTTTGTGGTACTTGTATGAAGTTTACCATAGCCATCACTTGCTCTTCGTCTGTACCAAAAGCTTTGCGTAGGAGACTATACAATAAAGCACTGGCCTCTCGGTCTGACTCTTGTGCTTGGATAATGGCGCCAAGCACGTTTGCTCCCAGGAGGGGCTAAGGGAGTGACAGCTTACTGACAAGGAAAGGGGCTTGCACAGTAAGATTGGGATCTTCGTGACCAGCGAGAGTGACTGTAAGTTCGACCCACCCATCATAAGGAACTGCTTGTCCGTTAACCGCATAAACTTCAAGTCCATCATTTAACAGCTCTTGGAGGGGTCGCACCTGATAGTTGGGAAAAAACCGCTGAACCCAATGTCTGTCCACTAAACTCACTTGTGAGCCAGAATCAAATAACACTGTCACTGGATAGCCACCAATCAAACACTTGAGAAGGCTTTTCTTTCCAACTAGGTGGACTTTACAGCTGTTTGGTGTTAAACTTTGGCAAGAGGTTACCTGTTGCTTTCTCTGGTCTCGCTTTGGCTGCTTTCTTTTTAGCTTACTGCAACGCCTTGCACACTCAGTGGTGAGCTGTGCAGAGGAGGACCTTACTGGCTGGGACTGTGACTCTGCGCCGGCCTCTGGCTGTCCCTTGACAGAGACCGATCCCAGTTTCCCTGAGTTTTGGTCCGCTTTAAAGATCCCACTGCTCGGTGTCCTGACTCGCAGCATACAAAGCAATGACTACAGTCCTGCAAGTTCTGCTCAGTACACTTTGGACAAAGGAACGCTTTCTTTTGGAGGTGGAGAACCAGATCAAGGTCCTGCAGGAGCAGTTTGATAGCAGCATGAATGAGAAAGAATATTTGGTTAATACGATGGCTCTGACAAAGGCCCGTCTGATCAGGGCAGGGAAGCTAACGTCCGCTCTTGGTGACGAACAAGTATGCTGGGAAGAAAGTGTAGCCCTGTTTGAGCAAGAGATCATCAATGTTGTGGGAAATGTCTTCATTGCAGCTGCTTGTGTGGCATATTATGGCGCATTTACTTCCCACTATAGACAGCTGCTAATTGACCAGTGGATAACGCAGTGCCAGAACCTGAACATCCCAATCAGTTCCACTTTTAGCCTGATTAACATTCTTGGTGATCAATATGTCATCCGCCAGTGGAATGCAGAAGGTTTGCCTCTTTTAGGTTCTATATGACCACAAAGATGGCCAACCCACATTACCTGCCAGAGGTTTGCATCAAAGTTACAATTATCAACTTCACTGTCACTAAATCTGGCTTAGAAGACCAACTTCTCAGTGATGTGGTGCGTCTTGAGAGTCCGCATCTTGAGGAACAGAGGAACGAGCTGATTGTGCGCATCAACGCTGACCGCAGCCAGCTGAAAGATATTGAAGACTGCATTCTTAAGCTTCTCTTTACCTCTAAGGGGAATATACTTGACAACGAGGAGCTAGTTCAGACTCTCCAGGAGTCAACGGTGACTTCAGAGGCCATAAAGCAACGTCTGGAAGAGGCAGAAGCAACTGAGCTGTTGATAAACTCTGCAAGGGAGCGCTACAGGCCTGTGGCCACTCGAGGATCTGTTTTGTACTTTGTCATTGCCAGTCTGTCAGAGATCGATCCTATGTACCAGTTCTCACTCAAGTACTTTAAACAGCTCTTTAATTCCACCATCGAGACATCAGAGCACTGTGCTAGAAGAGCGCCTTCAGATCCTCCTGAATCAAATCTTGCTAAACTCCTACATTAATATGTCAAGTGGACTCTTCGAGCAACACAAGCTTATCTACAGCTTTATGTTGCACATAGAAATCATGAGGCAGCGTGGCGAGATCTCTGATGGGGAATGGTGGCACTTCCTAAGAGGAGCTTCTTCACTGAAAAAGGAGTTTCCAGAGCGACCAGATGTGCCATGGCTAAGTGTTTTTTACTGGCAGACATGTTGTGAGCTGGAGGACACACTGCCTTGCTTCAAGGGCATCTCCAAAGAAATCACTAGAACCCATATCCATATTAAGCTAGGGCATTTTGAAGCATCTTTAAATCCAGAAAAATGGAATGGCTATGTGTCAGAGTTGCCTTCTCTCGAGGAGTCCAAAAAGGAGAAACAGGAGATAACAGGCTACTGGAATGAGCGATTGGGATCTTTCCAGAAACTAGTTCTTATCAAGAGCTTCATGGAAGAGAAGGTGGTTTTTGCAGCACCTGAGTTTGTGATTGTCAACTTGGGGAAGGAGTTTGTGGAAAACCCTCCAGTTGACCTGGCTAATCTCTATAATGACATATCCCCTACCACCCCATTGATCTTCATCCTCAGCTCAGGTTCTGACCCAATGGGTGCCTTCCAGCGCTTTGCAAATAAGAGAGGGTGTCTCGACAGGGTCGAGGCTATCTCACTGGGGCAAGGCCAGGGACCTATAGCGGAGAAGATGATCCATTCAGCGCTGACAAGTGGCAACTGGGTCTTCTTGCAAAACTGCCATCTGGCTGTGTCTTGGATGTTAGCCATGGAGGAGCTCATTAAGACCTTCACTGACCCTGACACATCAGTCCATGAGAACTTCCGTCTATTTCTCAGTTCCATGCCGACCAAAGTATTTCCTGTTACAGTGCTCCAGAACTCCGTTAAGGTGACTAACGAGCCTCCTAAAGGCCTGCGAGCCAACATGCAACGAGCCTTCACAGAGATCACCAGCAGTTTCTTTGAACACCACATTTTGGGACACCAGTGGAGGAAGATTGTCTTTGGAATCTGCTTTTTCCATGCAATCATCCAGGAGCGGAAGAAGTTTGGTCCCCTGGGCTGGAACATCCGCTACGAATTCAATGACAGTGACAGAGAATGTGCTCTGCTCAACCTCAACCTGTACTGCAAAGATGGCACCATCCCTTGGGATGCTCTGGTCTACATCACTGGTGAGATCACATATGGAGGGAGAGTGACGGATGCCTGGGACCAACGGTACCTAAGGACAATCCTCAAAGGCTTTTTTTCTCCAGAAACTCTGCAGCCTGGCTACACGTACTCCCCCTCAGGTGTTTACTACGCTCCAGAGTCAGATGAACTCGAACAATATAAGTATATTGAGAATCTTCCAATCATTGATGATCCTGAGATCTTTGGTATGCATGAGAATGCCAACTTGGCTTTTCAGCGTCAAGAAACTATAACTCTGATCAATACCATACTGGATGTTGATCCTTGTTCTTCAGCACAACAGGGAGCTAAGAGTAACGATGACATAGTCTGCGAGCTCGCCGAACTGATTTTAGCCAAACTGCCCGAGCGACTGGACATGGATGAAGCAATTGACACACTGTTTATCAAAGACACCAATGGGCGCATTAACTCCCTCACAACTGTTTTGGCCCAAGAAGCAGACCGATTCAACAACTTGCTTAAAGTTCTCAGGATGTCTCTTATCACTCTGCAAAAGGCAATAGCAGGTCTCGTTGTGATGTCAGAGAAAATGGACCGAATCTACACAAGCTTTCTGAACAACCAGGTCCCCACCCACTGGGCAAACTCTGCCTACCCTTCCCTCAAACCGCTGTCTTCTTGGGTCAGAGACTTGACTCTCAGAACTTCCTTTATCCAGACTTGGATCACACGTGGTCAGCCCAAATCACTTTGGATCTCCGGGTTCTTCTTCCCTCAAGGCTTTCTTACTGGAGTGTTGCAGAATCATGCCCGGCGTTACAGTTTGCCTATTGATGAGCTTAATTTCCGCTTCAGCGTGGTGCCGGCCTACAGGGATGAGGAAGCAGTCTGTGAGGCTCTACGCACTCTTCCCATTGGTGCAAAACAAAACATGGATGAGGAGGACGGTGTACTTGTTCACGGCATGTTCATGGATGCCTGTCGCTGGGATGATGTCGGCATGGTGATTGATGATGCGCTGCCTCGGGTTATGAACGCCATGCTGCCGGTGGTGCACTTTGAGCCACAGCAGAACTACGTTCCAGAGCCTGACCTCTACCACGCTCCTCTGTACAAGACCTCAGCCAGAGCTGGCACTCTGTCCACCACAGGTCACTCAACTAATTTTGTGGTAACAGTAATGCTTCCCTCCAAGCGACCCAGCGACTACTGGATATCCAAAGCCTCCGCACTCCTGTGCCAGTTGGATGATTAAATGTTTATTCGAGTGCAAAGTAGAATTTTAAATGTCACCAAAACATTTGCACAGTAGCAACTGTAATAGCAACACAGACCGCAATAAAAATTTCACCTGACTGAGCTGTGTAGTGTCTTTGTTTTCTGATGCAAGGCTCTTAGCGAGTTCAAAGAGGTCTTGACCTTGGAGTGAAAACAAGCGTCTCCTGATATTCCAGGCGAGTTCCTTTCTCTCGGTCGACATATTGTATGTATTTCTGATTATCCTTCAGCTCGATAGTGACTAGGATGCGTCACACTCCCCTCACTGCAGTACGGTTCCACGTCGAGGCAAAGGTCCCCTTTTCGCCTCACTACCTGGACACCTACTCGCTGGCTTGGCTGGAGTAGCAGCCTTGGTCACGATTGTGTCGTGGTTCTGGTATCACTGGATCTGCCCTCGACGACTGTAGAGGAGAGATCCCAGACGAGCCCCCACAGTTTGTTACGGGTCCCAGATGTGAAGACCACAATAACAAAAAGAATACAAATCTGTAAAAATAAAGGTAGAGTCTCAGAGAAAGAATCACAGGAGCACTCGTATCTTTTCCCGAATTGCGTCTCTTATTTCAGATCAACAAATATAATTTACATCCAGTGTTTTCACTTGTCAGATATGCTCATTAACTGTAAAAGGTAAATAAAAGGCATTTGGCAAATATATGTATCTATGGTTGTTACATTTCTCCAGTTTACACTGTTAATTACACTAGTCCTTCACTCATTTACATCAGCAGTGCAGATACCATACAATGCCTTAAACATCTTATTGCTCTTTCTCACATATAGGGCAAACTCAAAATAGCTTATCCACAAATCAGATATAAGTGCATAAATCTTACTAGATTAGACAAAACACACCTGAATGTATTACTTTGCAATGTAACAACATAAATGTACATGCATTCTTAGCTTATTCTTAACATTTCCACATCACTTGAACCGTAAATTGTATATGAGATATTTTAAACTCGAATAATCTGATGTCAGGGCCTTTACAGTTAAATTGGAACACCACACACACATATTTGATTGTTAAATGGAGTTTACCAAGTTTAAATACATCCCGCGGGCTGGCAAACTCTCGCGGTAACTCTCGCGAGACTTGGGGCTGCGCAGCTCGGCTTTATCACCGCTGCGGTGCCGCGCTTCAGTAACTTTCAAGGTTAAGGTTATATCGGCGGTGTCAACATAACTCTCAGTAAATACCGAAGTAGAATGACGCACAAAACCCTCATACACTGTATTTTTAAGACGATACTGACCTGTACAAATAAAGGTAGAGTCTCAGAGAAAGAATCACAGGAGCACTCGTATCTTTTCCCGAATTGCGTCTGAGAGGACAGGAAGTAGGTCCGCTCTAGGCAACCGCGGGCGAACGACTACAGTGTCAACAGTTCTGCTTATTATTTCTCACTTTTACTCCCCTCAATTGTTATGGACTACACGTAATGAATGTAAAATAATAATTGTCTTAATTGCTGGCATATATTTTTCTTAAAAATAATAAAATTTACCAAAATGTGGTAGCACATTTGTGCTCACCATCATCAAATGTTTGGGTCCATAGCCAGGAAACTCCCCAGACCTTAATTCCACTGAGAACCTGGTGGACAAACAAAAATCCCCAAAACTCCAACCGCTGATTATGCACGAACTGGCTGCCGTCAGCCAGGATGTAACCCAGAGGCTGCTTGAAAGAATGGCAGGATGCCAGGGCATATGTCACAGGTCTTAAGAAAAGGCCAAATATTTTTACAAATATTGACCCTTTGCATAAACTTAATGTGATTGTCAATAAAACACATTTTGACACGTATCCTCAGTGTACAATACAGTACAGTACAGTGTACAATAGAAACAACTAATAAAAAGGTCTAAAAACACAGAAGCAGTAAACTTTGTGAAAGCATATACCTGTGTCATTCTCAAAGCTTTTGGCCACAATTGTAATTTGTTAAAAAAAAAAAAAAAAAAACCACCTGAGGGGAAAAGA